CGCGTCCCAGGCCGGCTACCTCCTTGCTTCTCACGGCTCTCCTGGCTCACCACTGACCTCGCCTCACGGCTCTCTTGGCTCACCACCGACCTCGCCTCACGGCTCTCCTGGCTCACCACTGACCTCGCCTCACGGCTCTCTTGGCTCACCACCGACCTCGCCTCATGGCTCCAAATTCTCAGATTCTCACTTACTTAAGTTTTTTTTCTCGTCCTCATGACTGGAGATGAGAACCGTGTCTAATTAACCCAAAGGCTCCCGTTGCTGGCCGCTTTATTTCTTATTAGGGGAAGACTAACTTAGGAATCTTTGAACATTCAGTATCTGTTCCCCCCGTGATCGTTGACTGAGGATAGATAGAGAGATAGCTAGATAGTCAAACAACACAGAGGTTCCCAAGACTCAATATGTACAGGTATACAAACAATAGTAAACAGTAAACAAAAGTAAACCAAGGATAACTAACAGAGTCATCACATTACATAAACACTGACGATGAAGTTGTTTTAAGGCAGAAGTAACCCAAGTGCAGATTAAATAGTCATCGTTAAGTAAGTATGTTATATACCTCAGGGTTAATTAACTCTGATCCACACCTATACGACGTTATCACTATGCTCTATGTTTACACCTGTTAATTATGTTTACACCTGTTAATAATGTCTACACCTGTTAATTAATAATGTTTACACCTGTTAATTAATTATGTTTACACCTGTTAATTATGTCTCTGTGTAAACTTGGTGAATGAGGAGCATTGAAATGAGATCCATGAACGTATATGGAGAGGTGATGTGTGGTGATGGAGGGGTGATGGAGGGGTGATGTGTGGTGATGGAGGGGTGATGTGTGGTGATGTGTGGTGATGGAGGGGTGATGTGTGGTGATGGAGGGTGCCGTCACTCGTGGTAGCTGTAGTGTGTGGTGAGCAAGACGGAGGAGAGGCCGTGGGACACCACCATGGGGTAGTGTCTTACCACTATCTTGGGTCACATATAGCTTCCTACTACCACCACTACTACCACTACCACCACTACTACCACTACCACCACTATCACAGCTATTACCACTACTACCACCACTACTACCACCACTACTACCACTACTACCACTATCTTGGGTCACATATAGCTTCCTACTACTACCACTACCACCACTACCACAGCTATTACCACTACTACCATCACTACTGCCACCACTACGACTACCACCACCACCACTACTACTACTACTACCACCACTATTACCACTACTACCACTACCACCACTTCCACAGCTATTACCACTACTACCACCACTACTGCCACCACTACCACCACCACCACCACTACTACTACCACCACTAGTACCACTACTACCACCACTACTACCACTATCTTGGGTCACATATAGCTTCCTACTACCACCACTATCACCACCACTACTACCACTACTACTACCGTCACTACTATCACCACTACCACCACTATTACCACGACTACCACCACTACTACCACTACTACTACCACCACTACCACCACTACTATCACCACTACCACCACTATTACCACCACTACTACCACCACTACTACCACTACTACTACCACCACTACCACCACTACTATCACCACTACCACCACTATTACCACCACTACTACCACCACTACTACCACTACTACTACCACCACTATTACCACTACCACCACCACTACCGCAACAATCTCGGGTTAGGTTAGACTAGGGGTAAGTAATGAACTCGAGGTGAAATACAGGTGCGGATCCAGCAATATCAAAACGGGGTGTGTCCAAAAAGTTATGGGTCAGTTAGGTTTACAATTCATAGAGCTGACTGGCGCATCGGTGAAAACATATACTACATTGAACTGTTTGTGCTGTGGTTGTATGAACGTTTGGTAGTGAGTGACCCTAGTGTGTAAAGCCATATTAGTACAGGTAGACTTGATTACCTGTGTAGCCTAAAAATGGGATGGGGTTGAGTGATATTATTGGGATGGGTGAAACCTTTCTTTCTTTCTTTCTTTCTTTCTTTCTTTCTTTCTTTCTTTCTTTCTTTCTTTCTTTCTTTCTTTTTTCTTTCTTTCTTTCTTTCTTTCTTTCTTTCTTTCTTCTTTCTTTCTTTTTTCTTTCTTTCTATCTTTCTTTTTTTCTTTTTTCTTTCTTTTTTCTTTTTTTTTCTTTTCTTTCTTTTCTTTTTTTTTTTCTTTCTTTCTATCTTTCTTTTCTTTTTCCTTCTTTTTTTTTTTTCTTTTTCTTTCTTTCTTTTTCTTTCTTTCTATCTTTCTTTTTTTCTTTTTTCTTTCTTTTCCTTTTTTTCCACCATTTATCAAGGCGAGAGGAATAGCAACCAGGTGTGTGTGTGTGTGTGTGTGTGTGTGTGTGTGTGTGTTGATCACTCGTAACCTTGAAGGAGAGTTAAAGACACTTAACTGAGAGTGACTTGTCCTTATTAAATACAATCTTAAGATACTCGTGAGAACATTAACCTCCTCCTCCTCCACCTCTTTCTCCTCTTCCTCCTCCTCTCCTCTTCCTCCTCCTCGTATCTTCCTCCTCCAGCCTCCTCCTCGTCTCTACCTTCTCTTCCTACTTTTCCTCCGTTTTTTCCTCCTCTCCTCCTGCTCTTTCTCTTCCTCCCTTTCCTCCTCCTCTTTTTCCTCCTCTTCCCTTTCTTCCTTTTCTTTTTTTCCATATTCTCCTACTCCTCCTTCTCCTTCCCTTCTTCTCCTCCTCTTCCTCTTTCGTTGCCTGGTTGGATAAGTTCTGTCACTTAGATTAATTTTGTTGACTTGCCGTAATGTATGGTTAGTTGGCGGTTAAGTTACTGTGTGTGTGTGTGTGAAAGTCAGACAGGAGCTAGAGGGGGTTTGACAGAAGCCCTCCGTCACCCTGGCTCCTAAGGGCTCGGATGACGTCACATGTAAACAGATCCCCCCTCTTCACTGTGTCGTCTCTTACTCTACTATTATCGTTTAAACTGTAACGACAAGAAAGGTTAGGTTAGGTTACTTTAGGTTACGTCACGTTAGGTTACGTTAGGTTAGCACTGATTTTTTTTTTCTAATGGCATTAGCCCACCCGGGCACAGATCATTTTTAATGGCCCACATCAAGGCCTGGGGGGCGAAAATATAATAAAATAATAATAATTATTATGATAATAATAATAATATTAATAGTAATAAAAATATATAAAATAAATAACAATTATAATAAAAGAAAATAATAATAATAATAATAATAATAATAATAATAATAATAATAATAATAATAATAATAATAATAATAAAATATTTAAAAATAAATAACAATTATAATAAAAAATAATAATAATAATACAAATTTATAAAAATTATAAATAATAATACCCCTTGTAATAATAAAGAGCCATAAATAAATAAAAAAAATAAAAATTAAAAATATTAATAAGTGAGAAACAATATATGTATGTTGTGTTGTCAATGGTAAGAGAAACAATTGAGACCCTACAATTGTGTGTAAATGAGGCAGAAAGTCAGCTCAGCAACCTGGAACTTGGTCACAATTTTCGTGATGCCATATAGCAGCAGGGTCTACCATTAGACAACACATTATGCTTCCAATATCTTCCCAGGCGGTAGTACCTCCCTGTTTGATAACTGCCTGCTGATATAAGCTTCCTGAGACCTAAGTTAAACTATCGTGCATTTTTATCGCTTTCGTATTTTTGTTAAGGATGAAGTAAATATCAGATCTACTACAAACTTTCCTGTTTTTTATTTCCTCTTGTTGCCCTCAGTAATAAGCCGAGAGAGAGAGAGAGAGAGAGAGAGAGAGAGAGAGAGAGTAGCAGCAGATCATTTAAACATTATATTACCCTCGTCTCACTAAAGGAATCCACAACAAGGAAATAAAAAACAAAATAAATAAAAATAAAAGATATTAAAACATAAGAGGAACTCAGACGATCTCAACAGTAAGTAAGTCGACCTTCTTAGTTACAGCCACCACGATACAGAGATACAAAACTAAGATACAGAAGAACTAGTTTGTAATATGAGTGACTCCCAGAGACCCATCCATCTCTTAGGTTTGGATGAGTCGCTAAGGGCTCGTGAAAGAGTGGTTGGTTAGTGGATAGGTACCGTACATGGATGGAGTGGTCGAGGTGTTGGATGGTGACGGGATGGGTCTAGGGTGTTTCAGGGTTAGGTTGGGTTACAGGTAATGAATGTTGAGAAGGGGTGGTGGTGGTGGTTGAGGTGTAACAAGACAACATTTTTGACAGTAATGGGGAGGGGAGGAGGGAGGGGAGGGAGGGGGGAAAGAGGAGGGGAGGAGGCGGGGGGGTTTATTTTAACCAGAATGATAACACAGACGTAAAGTGAACAACAACAACAACAACAACCACAAAAACAACAACAACAACAACCACCACCACCTCAACAACAATAACAACAACAACCACAACAGCATCCACAACAACAACAAGAATATTGACAGTACTGAACCTATCTTGTGATACTGTCTCGTGAAGCCCGTGATGGAAGGCTGAAATATAACAACAATGGATTGGTATAGAGACAGTATATATATATATATATATATATATATATATATATATATATATATATATATATATATATATATATATATATATATATATATATATATATATATACACACACACACACACACACACGGGTACTGGGGCACTTGGCAGGGTACTGGGGGAGGGTAGTGGGGCACTCGGCAGGGTATTAAGGCGTCTTGCTCAAGTGGTTAAGGTACAATGTAATTCTTATAGTTAACTACTGTACAGTACCCTGCCAGCCGTAGAATGAGAATGTAAGCTGTGTGTGTGAGTGTGATATTATTATTATTATTATTATTATTATTATTATTATTATTATTATTATTATTATTATTATTATTATTAATATTATTATTATTATTATTATTATTATTATTATTATTATTATTATTATCATCATCCCCCCACCACTAACGCCTCTCTCTTTACAGCCACCACTATGGACGCCTTACAGTCTTTCCCAGAGCAACTCGGTTTCACAGCCAACAACACGTGGGAGGAACATCTTGCGTTGGAGGATGAAGCGGCTGCCTCAGAGATAGCCAAGTGGGTGATGAGGTGATACTAGTGTTGTGGTGCAAGATACTAGTGTTGTGGTGCAAGATAGTAGTGGTGTTGTGTAAGATAATAATGGTGTTGTGTAAGATAGTAATGGTGTTGTGTAAGATAGTAGTGGTGTTGTGTAAGATAGTAATGGTGTTGTGTAAGATAGTAGTGGTGTTGTGTAAGATAATAATGGTGTTGTGTAAGATGGTAATGGTGTTGTGTAAGATAGTAGTGGTGTTGTGTAAGATAAATAGTGGTGTTGTGTAAGATAGTAGTGGTGTGTTGCAAGATTGTAGTGGTGTTGTGTAAGATAATAATGGTGTTGTGTAAGATAGTAATGGTGTTGTGTAAGATAGTAGTGGTGTTGTGTAAGATAGTAATGGTGTTGTGTAAGATAGTAGTGGTGTTGTGTAAGATAATAATGGTGTTGTGTAAGATGGTAATGGTGTTGTGTAAGATAGTAGTGGTGTTGTGTAAGATAGTAATGGTGTTGTGTAAGATTGTAGTGGTGTTGTGTAAGATAGTAGTGGTGTTGTGTAAGATAGTAGTGGTGTTGTGTAAGATAGTAGTGGTGTTGTGGTGCAAGATAGTAGTGGTGTTGTGTAAGATAGTAATGGTGTTGTGTAAGATAGTAATGGTGTTGTGTAAGATTGTAGTGGTGTTGTGGAAGATAGTAGTGGTGTTGTGTAAGATAGTAGTGGTGTTGTGTAAGATAGTAGTGGTAGTGTGTAAGATAGTAGTGGTAGTGTGTACGATAGTAGTGGTGTTGTGTACGATAGTAGTGGTGTTGTGTAAGTAGTGGTGGTGTGTAAGATAGTAGTGGTAGTGTGTAAGATAGTAGTGGTGTTGTGTAAGATAGTAGTGGTAGTGTTGTGTAAGATAGTAGTGGTAGTGTTGTGTAAGATAGTTGTGGTGTTGTGTAAGATAGTAGTGGTGGTGTGTAAGATAGTAGTGGTGGTGTGTAAGATAGTAGTGGTAGTGTGTAAGATAGTAGTGGTGGTGTGTAAGATAGTAGTGGTAGTGTGTAAGATAGTAGTGGTGTTGTGTAAGATAATAATAATAATAATAATAATAATAATAATAATAATTAACGGTTTATTGAAAGAACTTGGCAGCCAGAAGGCTGAAAATATACAGTTACATATTTGGGGAATGGGTTTCGAATTACAAATAATATACAAGTAACATGAGTAACACAAATAAGACATATAATAACTAGATGGGGAAAAGCTCAAACTACAGTACATTTCAACATAGTGACAGTGCAAGGAGTAGTGTTTACTGGGAGTGAATACACTGGTCTATTACAAGTTATTGATAATTTTTACAATGGTTGGGACTGGGCTGTTCTTATAGCGATCAGTAGTGGTGGTGTGTAAAATAGTAGTGGTGTTGTGTAAGATAGTAGTGGTAGTGTGTAAAATAGTAGTGGTGTTGTGTACGATAGTAGTGGTGGTGTGTACGATAGTAGTGGTGTTGTGTAAGATAGGAGTGGTAGTGTGTAAAATAGTAGTGGTTGTGTGTAAGATAGTAGTGGTGTGCAAGATAGTAGTGGTGGTGTGTACGATAGTAGTGGTAGTGTGTAAGATAGTAGTGGTGTTGTGTAAGATAGTAGTGGTAGTGTGTAAGATAGTAGTGGTAGTGTGTACGATAGTAGTGGTGTTGTGTACGATAGTAGTGGTGTTGTGTACGATAGTAGTGGTGTTGTGTACGATAGTAGTGGTGGTGTGTACGATAGTAGTGGTAGTGTATAAGATGGTAGTGGTGGTGTATAAGATAGTAGTGGTGGTGTGTAAGATAGTAGTGGTGTTGTGTAAGATAGTAGTGGTAGTGTGTAAGATAGTAGTGGTAGTGTGTACGATAGTAGTGGTGTTGTGTACGATAGTAGTGGTGCTGTGTATGATAGTAGTGGTGTTGTGTACGATAGTAGTGGTGGTGTGTACGATAGTAGTGGTAGTGTGTAAGATGGTAGTGGTGGTGTGTAAGATAGTAGTGGTGTTGTGTAAGATAGTAGTGGTAGTGTGTAAGATAGTAGTGGTGTTGTGTAAGATAGTAGTGGTAGTGTGTACGATAGTAGTGGTGTTGTGTACGATAGTAGTGGCAGTGTGTACGATAGTAGTGGTGGTGTGTACGATAGTAGTGGTTGACTGTAGTGGCTGACTGTAGTAATTGACTGTAGTAATTGTCGGCTTTTACCGTTATGTATAATATGTAAATTTATATAAGGTTTTTTTGTTTACATGTATATATTTTTTTTTCCTGTGGATATTTATTGGAGAAAAAAATTAGTGATCAATTTTATAAGAAATTTGAGTTGTTGTGAATATCTGTTCTTTCTCGTTATCTCACAAAAGACAGACGAAATTGTTAATAAATTCTCATTATTAGACTGCCTTCCTTCCTTCCTTCTTTCCTTCACACTCTCCCCTTCCCTCCCCCCACTCCTCCCTCCCTTCCTCGTATCCTCTCCTTCCTTCCTCCCTCCTCTTATACTCTCCCCTCCCCCCCTCTCCTATCCTATCTTTGCCTTCCCATCCACGGCGTCCCTCCTTCCCTTCCCTCTCCTTCTCCCACACTTCCTCGTTCCCGTCTCCCCACAACCATATTCCTCTATCCTTCCTCACCCCTCACACTCCATTATCTCCCCCACCTCCTTACTGTCTTTCCTTCTCCGTCCATAGAGAATTAGACAGAGAAGAAGAGTTTTTTATTTTTATTTTTAGATTGTCCACGAGAGGGCTAGTTTATTGGGCACCCCCTTACATCCTGTGCAAGGTTGAATTGAATTGAATTGAATTGAATTGAAACAGTTTATTTAGCCAGAAAAACACAGATACAGAGTGGATAATAATAACAATGTTAACATGGCTGAGCCAGTTGAGAACCTGAGCTCTCTTTGAGGCACCTGATATATACTATACATTTATCTCAAGGAAGTATTATGTAACATTTAGTATCATCTGGAATAGTACAATAGCATGGTGGTAATAAGTACATCTCATAATGTTACCACGGTTATCACTTCAATATTTATATATTTTATTTAATTATTATTTTTTAGTTTTTAGTTTATTTAATTTTGTTATTTATATATACATAAATTACAGTGGAATTGAAAAACATAAGTATAATGGGGGAGCAGTACAACCTGGGTTGAACAGTAATAAGGTTGAACAAGAGGACAGAGCTGTCGGGATTATGTCAAGTTGGCAATTATGTTTATTACAATGGTAATTACTTATCTATTTACGTGATAATTTCCGATAAAACGGTTTTGATGGTACAATAAAAGCAGGTACTGTAAATGTTGTAAGTGTTACAAGAAATATTAATACTTAGACAATAGATATTTTTTAAGAGGAAGCGCAGAAGCGTTTACAGCGCCCATCTGAGGAGTTAAAAAAATAATTAGACGTAAAGTCGACTTATCTGACCCGAGAAACACTGAGGAGGTGTGTGATCAGCTGACGACATAAACAAATGTGTAATCAGCTGACTCAATAAACAAAAGCCACCGATGACGTCACCAATACTGACCAGGGGTCTAATTAGCTGATGAAGTGATGAGTGAGTTGTTGACACGTCTTGGGGCGCAGGACGTGTATAATACATGTGTGTGTACGTGTGTGTGTGTGTGTGTATGATACATAAACGTGGCATACTGTACACGACAAATATTAGACTAACACACAGACATACATCCTTTCTCACCCCTCCTCTTCCCTGACAAATATCCCCCCCCCCCTCCACCCTCACCCCCACACACCTCTTACTCCTCTCCCCCAGCAGCCCACAACACCCAGCGCCCCTGTAATAACCCTCCTCACCCCCTCTGTCTCCCCTGCAGGATGTCGCGGGGCGTGGCGACGTTCATAGCGGTGCTGTTCATCGGCTACATGGTGTTGGGTCTGACAGGGAACTTCCTCACCATCCTCGCTCTCCTCCGCTGTCCCCGCGTCAGGAACGTCACCGCTGCCTTCATCATCAGGTAGTGTTGGATGTCTACGTCAGATAGTCTCACAGGTTCCTCAGGTAGGGCCATAGGTAGTCTTACAGGTTCTTCGAGTATTGCCTCAGGTAGTCTTACATGTTCTTCAAATATTGCCATAGGTAGTCTTACAGATTCTTGAAATATTGCCACAGGTAGTCTTACAGGTTCTTCAGGTAGTGCCACAGATAGTCTCACAAGTTCCTCAGGTAGGGCCATAGGTAGTCTTACAGGTTCTTCAAATATTGCCATAGGTAGTCTTACAGGTTCTTCAGGTAGTGCCACAAGTAGTCTCACAGGTTCCTCAGGTCACAGTGCCACAGGTAGTCTCACAGGTTCCTTATGTAGTGCCACAGGTAGTCTCACATGTTCTCAAGTAGTCTTACAGGTCCTCAAATATCGCCACAGGTACCTCAGGTAGAGTAAATTAGAGACCTAGTTCAGTAGTTGAAGTTAGGAGTAACAACATCACTCTTCGTAGCTTGTGTGTGGCTGACTTCCTCTTCTGTGTGTTGGTGCTGCCGTGGGAGGTCTCCAGGTTCCTCGCCGGCAAGTGGATCTGGGGCGAAGGATGGATATGTACCTTGTTCCCCCTGCTTAGGTAAGGCTCTTGCTCTTCCGCTGAGGTTCCTTGAGGCTCTTGCTCTCCCGGTAAGGTTACTTGAGGCTCTTGTCCCTTCCCGTGAGGCTCCTTGACCATCGAGGCTTCTCCCATTCCATACTACTGCTCTCTCTCATTTATTTTTAAGAACTTGGTGTCACTCCCTTATTGTACGTCTATTTATTTATTTTCTTTCTTTCTTTCTTTCATTTTTAATACTCGCAAGAAATATTTCAAATTCTGCACACTATTTGAGAGAGAGAGGGAGAGAGAGAGAGAGAGAGAGAGATTCAACATTACAGGTATGCTCTATTTTACAGGTACTGGAATGTCGCGGTGTCACTTCTCTCCATTGCCATGATCACCATCAACAGGTAAGACACACACACACCTGTATACCATAGAACCTCCTCTCCCATACTCCCCTCCAACCCTCCACTCCAACCCTCCACCTTCCCTCCAACCCTCCACTCTACCACTATGTTCAATGAGTCGTTTCCATCTGTTTACAAGGTATTTAATCACGTAATCCGAATAGGTCAACTCTCAGTTATTCGCGAATGTATAGTTTTGGTTGTTACTTCCATAAACCTGATATTTGTTTATCTTTTGAATGCCTGTTAAGCCACATGTACTAAACTATCCCTCATTGACCGACCACCACTAAGCCACCCTCCACTAAGTCACCCCTACTAAGCCATTCCCTACTAAACCACTAATACACCCCCCGTTAAGCCACATCACTCACTCAGCCACGCCACCCCAACTAAACTACCCCACTCCCACTAAGCCACCTCACCCCCACTAAGCCGCCGCCGCCCTAACTGCCACTCCACCCCCACTAAGCCACCACCGCCCTAATAAGCCACCCACTCCCCACCTCACCCCACTAAACCACCACCGCCCTAACTAAGCCATCCCACCCCAACTAAGCCTCCCCACCCCCACTAAGCCCCTCCCACCCCAACTAAGCCTCCCCACCCCAACTAAGCCACCCACCCCAACTAAGCCACCCCACCCCAACTAAGCCTCCCCACCCCAACTAAGCCTCCCCACCCCAACTAAGCCACCCCCACTAAGCCACCACCGCCCCCACAGGTACATTATGATCGCCCACTTCAGCGTGTACAAGCTGGTGTACAGGAAGGGATGGATCGCCCTTATGATCGCCTTCTGTTGGGTGTTCGCCTTCATCATGCTGCTGCCCACACTCCTCAGCAAATGGGGTACGTAGGTACACTGTGGCGGATGGTGCATGGTACATTATGGTATAACAAAGGAACAGCACACTATGGTACACTGGCACATTATGGTACATTACATTATGATACACTATGGTACACTGTGGCACATTGGTACACTATGGTACATTAGGGTGTCATCATGGTACACTACTCACACCAGCTCCCCCATACAGGTCGTTTCGGGTTCGACCGTCGCCTCCAGACGTGCTCCATCCTGGACGACAACAACAAGTCGCCCAAGCAGGTGTTGTTCGGCCTGGGCTTCTGTGTCCCCGCCATCGTCATCGTCATCTGCTACTCGCTCATCTTCTTCGTCATCCACAAGTGTGTAGGACAACCGGGTGTTAATCTCTCACGTTTGGTTAACAAAGTCGGATCATGTGAAGGCTAGACACCCCATTTTATCTTACCTGATAATTAAACAACCTATTGTTACCTGCGGGTTAGGTTAGGTTAGGTTAGCGTTAATGCGTTTAATCATCAGGTTAAAGATAATTAATCCTCAAGTGATCCAGAGTTTTGTTGTGATGAAGTCTTCATTGTTTGTGTCATCTTGGACACAACTACAGTACTATACATGTAAATTTACCTCAGACAAATTTTGACTTTAAGTGAGGTCGGTTTTGTTTCATTTAAGAACACAAATTTGAACTACTGTACACGTTGGTCTTAAGACAAAATTTTACACTTAATACAGGTCTTCTTAGTTCTCGGTCCTGAATATATATATATTTTTTTTTTACAGGTCTGAGAAACGCATGAGGCAACACAGCTCCCGCAGCATGAACGGCTCCCACCCCTCCGGCCCTTCCTTGCAGCCACAGTCCAGAGTAATAACCAAGGTGAGGCACTGACACTCACTCACACCTTCTGGGATAACATATTTTATTCGGTTGATTCCCGGTGACATGGGTGACATGGTTGACGTCAACGCCTAAGGCGCCAGATGTAGGAATCTTAAGGCAAGTAAACAATGTAAATTTGGTAGAAACAAGGCCAACAAAGTACTTGGGTTCAAACAAAGGAGTGTTAGTTACAAGACTAGCGAGGTTACCCTAAAACTATAGAATATCTTGCGCTTGTGAGACCTCACTTAGATTAAGCAGTTCAGTTATGGTCACCGTACTACAGAATGGATATAGAATCCCTAGAAAGAATTCAGAGGAGAATGACAAGACCAATCCCGAGCATTGGGAACCTTGAGTACAGAGACAGGTTAAAGCATCTTAATTTGCACTCCCTCGAGAGACGTAGAGTGAGGGGCGATATGATCGAGTTGTATAAATGGAAGTCAGGGCTAAAGAAAGGGGACATTACAAAGGTACTCAAACTATCCAACCAGGAGCGAACTCGTAACAATGATTTTAAATTAGACAAATTTAGATTTAGGCGCGAGATAGGTAAACACTGGTTTGGAAACAGAGTAGTGGACGCGTTGAACAAGTTACCAAACAACATCATTAACTCGAATACGCTGGATAGCTTCAAGCATAGGTTGGATTGATAAATGAACGATAGGGGTTGGGTGTAAATGGGACTGTCCAGTATGGGCCAATAGGCCCGCTGCAGTGTCCTCCATTCTTATGTTCTTATGTTCCTAAGTAAATACGTCCAGCCACTGATGGTGTGCACCAGTAACATGTTGAACCTCCTTTGGGAAAAAAATATAATTATTCTAGTAAATTCGTCTGTAGATTTTATTTAGAATTAAGTGATTATCACTAAAGTAGGTGTGTTGATCTGCCTCCTTTACACATTGTGCTGTGACTGTCGGATACATCACAAGTCACTGTCGCAATACTCTGAGGAGACATTACTGTACTCGTGTTGAGTGAACAGTGTTATGGTCCACAGTGTTCTCCGCCTTACTGTGCTCATCACAGACAGAAGTCAACAGACTTCATAAGCTTTTACTTCTTCATCTTTTAACCTTTTGTTTATTTCTCTCACCTCCCCATTGGTAAGGACAGCGGTGGCCGAGTGGATATAAAGCTCGCTATCTATCCAGAGTCGTTCACTCTCGCTCGGGACACTCCCACTCTACCTGGCTGAGAATAGGTGTAATGTTAGCTGGAGGAATGAAGGCTGTCAGATTCAGTACTGGCTATGCTGCCTCCTTGTGTATTGATGGCTATATCTACACTGTCCCTAACGGGCCATCAGGCCTGAGGGGTTCACTTTTACTTCGATGTTGCTATCGACCCCTTGCCCATCTACTGACCCCACTAACGACACTGCTTCCCACCTGGTGACCTCTCCCCCAGGTGGAGCGTGAGGCCAAGCGACGCAGGAATGAGTGGAGGATCACCAAGATGGTCCTCATCATCTTCATCGCCTTCCTCATCACCTACCTGCCCATCACCCTCGTCAAGAACCTGGACAAGAAGGTCAACTACCCAGGTGAGACCAGACACCAGTTGATATCAGAGATCATGTGAGATCAGAGATCAATTGAGACTAAAGACCAATTGATTCCAGGGACCAGGTGAGACCAGAGACTGAGTGAGATGGTTCAAGTGAGACCAGAGAGCAGGTGAGATGAACTTGGTAAGGTTAGGTTAGATCACAGGACAGGTAAGGTCAGAGGCTGGGTGTAGTTCCTCGTTCCCCAGGTGAGTCCAACAGGCGGACTAACACACTCAAGTTTTATAATGGCAAAACCCATTAAAATTTCCCTTGTTGTTGACATATTTTCCTGACGAGAAAATTGTAGTCCATAACCACACACGTGTTAAAGGCTACCCTACCCCCTGACCAAACAGGTGTTAAGGGCTACCCCCTGACTATACAGGTGTTAAGGTCTACCCTACCCCCTGACCAAACAGGTGCTAAGGGCTACCCCTCTGACTACACAGGTGTTAATGACTACCCCCCTGGCCACACAGTGTTAATGGCTACCCTACTACACAGGTGTTAATGGCTACCCCCTAACCACACATGGCTACCCCCTGACCACACACTGTTGGGCTACCCTACCCCCTGACCACACACTGTGGGCTACCCCCCCTGACCACACAGTGTTAATGGCTACCCCTGGCCACACAGTGTTAGGCTACCCTACCCCCTGACCACACAGTGTTAATGGGTACCCCCTGGCCACACAGTGTTGGGCACCCTGTGTTAAGGGCCACCCACCCCCTACCCCCTGACCACACAGTGTTGGGTCTACCCCACCCTGACCACACAGTGTTAAGGTCTACCCCACCCCTGACCACACAGTGTTAAGGTCTACCCTACCCCTGGCCACACAGTGTTAAGGGCTACCCTACCCCTGACCACACAGTGTTAAGGTCTATCCCACCCCTGACCACACAGTGTTAAGGACTACCCACCCCTGACCACACAGTGTTAAGGTCTACCCCACCCCTGACCACACAGTGTTAAGGTCTCACCTGACCACACAGTCCCCACCCTGACCACACAGTGTTAAGGTCACCCCCCTGACCACACAGTGTTAAGGTCTACCCCACCCCTGACCACACAGTGTTAAGGTACCCCACCCCTGACCACACAGTGTTAAGGTCTATCCCACCCTGACCACACAGTGTTGGGTCTACCCCACCCCTGACCACACAGTGTTAAGGTCTACCCACCCCTGGCCACACAGTGTTAAGGTCACACCCACCACACAGTGTTAAGGTCACCCCACCCTGACCACAGTGTTACACCCTACCCCTGACCACACAGTGTTAAGGTCTACCCCACCCCTGACCACACAGTGTTAGGTCTACCCCACCCCTGACCACACAGTGTTAAGGTCTACCCCACCCTGACCACACAGGTGCCACAGTCCTTCCGCAGGTCTACACGTGCTGGGTTACGTCTTGATCTACATCTCGGCGTGTATCAACCCCGTCATTTACGTCATCATGAACAGACAGTACCGCCAGGCGTACAAGACGGTGCTGCTGTGTCGCCGACCTCGCCTCCCCTCCTCACCTCCTCCCACACAGGTGAGTCACACACACACGCACACACACACACACACACACACACACACACACACACACACACACATACACACACATACACACACACACACACACACACACACACACACACACACACACACACACACACAGTGCTCACAGACGGAAACCAGGACGCTATTCAGACAAGATTAAGGTACTCGAGAGATGGTGGTGGTGGTGGTGGTGGTGGTGGTGGTGGTGATGATGTGGTTAGTGATGCTATTGATAGTGGTGGTTATAGTGATGTTGGTACTAATGACAGTGATAGTGATGGTGGTGGTGGTGGAAGTGAGGTACTAGGGGTGGTGGTAATAGTGCTGGTGATAGTGATGGTACTGGGGTGGTGGTGGTGATAGTGATGGTACTGGAGGTGGTGGTGATAGTGATGGCACTGGGGTGGTGGTGATAGTGATGGTACTGGGGTGGTGGTGGTGTGATGATGGTACTGGGGGTGGTGGTGGTGATAGTGATGGTACTGGGGTGGTGGTGATACTGGGGTGGTGGTGATAGTGATGGTACTGGGGGTGGTGGTGGTGGTTAGTGATGGTACTGGGGGTGGTGGTGGTGATAGTGATGGTACTGGAGGTGGTGGTGGTGATAGTGATGGTGGGGTGGTGGTGGTGATGATGGTTCTGGTGATGTGATGGTGCTGGGGTGGTGGTGGTGATAGTGATGGTACTGGGGGTGGTGGTGTTAGTGATGGTACTGGGGGTGGTGGTGTTAGTGATGGTACTGGTGGTGTTAGTGATGGTACTGGGGGTGGTGGTGATGGTACTGGGGATGGTGGTGATAGTGATGGGGGTGGTGGACGTCCATCATGTGTTGTTTGTGTAGTGAGTTGAGAAAGACTTTCTTACCCCTTGAGCTCCCTATAAGCGGCTCACCCTCTCGCCACCACGTCCTTCCCGTAGAAAAGATCCAGCGTGTCGAGCCAAAAAATCCCTTATTAGAACCTTCTCTGGGCTCTATTGAGGCCGCGAGATGCCGTTAACAAGGCAAGATAAGCCCGTCCCACTAAAGGTCACACCCTCAGGTCACATCCTCAGGTCACACCCTCAGGTCACACACTCAGGTCACACCTTCAGGTCATACCCCCCAGATCACTTTGAAGAAGTGGCAAACGTTTTGGGGGTCAGAGTTGTGAATTCTTGGGATAATCTACCAGAGAGTGTTGTGACGACACCGAGTTTGAGCTTATTCGATATCAGACTTGACCAACACTGGCGTGGGTACAGATACTTAGCATTCTGGAGCCAGTACATGCCCAGTACTTACTAACAGTGCGTAGTAGATGTGACCAACCTCCCAAGTGGCTAATAGGCTGATCAGTGGCGAAGAAGATAAATTAAAAGTAGATGAGCTCAAAAGTTGTGGGATTCGGGAGCATTAGTTCCTGTGAGGCGGCGACGGTAAGCAGCCTCTCGGCCCACCCGACCCAGCCACCGTCTGTGTTCTGAGTCTCTTGTTGACAACACACACACACACACACACACACACACACACACACACACACACACACACACACACACACGAGCATATGTTATCTTGGGATGTTCGTGTTTTTTTAATAGTCGTAGTAATCTGGTAGTAGCTATTTAATGGTCATAACGGTTGCTTTTAAACAGTAGTGTCTGCAGTAATATCAAGAATAACAGAATCATTAGTGCTTGTACAGTAACAGAGAGCTACCATGTAGTAATTTTAGTAATAATAGTAATAGTAGTAGTTTTAGTAATAGTAGAAGTAGAAGTAGTAATAATAACTTCTGTAACACTAGCGTAATGTTTATAGTAGTGTTGGATGTACAGTAAGTGATAATAACACTAGTAATAAGAGCTACAATAATAATATTAACAGTAAGACCACTAGTGACTGGTAGTCCATGTGCATGGTAACTAGGGAGATGTATGGTAACATAACAGCATGATAAGCATGGTTGGTCTTCTTCTTGCAGAGCTCGACAAAGCCGCCTCGTGTCGCAGGTATGCCTCCCTCAGGTGCAACAGTTGCATGTCTCAGCCCTCCCTCAACAATGGCACCCCTACACCTCACCCACATCCCAACCGCCCACACTCACGCCCACACTCAATGCATGACGTCTCTTACCACCACAAAAAAAAATTCCAAACCCGCCTCCTCTGGTTCAGTACTTTCGACACACACAGCTCGGAGTCCTCTGTAAACACTAATAATAAAGTCAGTGATACCTGTAAGGACTGTGAGAGACTCAAGAAGAGTCATCGCTCTACGTGTGTTGAATGTCAGACTCTGAAGAACACCAAGAGGAACACCGTGCTAGGCATGACTGAGAGACTGGGTGATCGACGGACATACGGGGGGGACTCGACCATGCAGGGGGGTGTCGAGTGCTCCCCACAGGTCTTCGTCGATCATCTCCTCCAAGTGGAAACAACCTTAACCACAGACACTGCTTATTCCAGACCTGTTACACCAGAAAGGCCTCGAAGTCAACTGTCTGACACAACAAAACATAATTTCTCTAAAAGTTCTCTACATAATGTATCTGATGTCAATCAAAATGGTGAACACAAAGGTTTTGACAAATCTTCCGATGCGTCCCATACACAAACACTTGACACAGACCAACACCAGAACCAAGTTGACTCCCAGAAAGAAACACAAAACAACAACCTGACTCACAAACAAAAACAATCTTATTTTAACAACAAGGTCCAGATTGATTCAAACGGTCGACCCCAAACTACAGGACTTGACGAGGACCAGAATCAAAAATCATGTGCCAGTAAGAGTCAAGAGCCCTCAGTCGAGACTAACCCAGAGACAACATTAACACTTGGTAGTTCCCTTCACCCACACGCTGCAGACCAAATCTCCCAGGTGCCAACTGACGACAAAACACATAAGAATGTTGGCCCAAATCCTTCCTCTGGCCATAAGTTTGTCTTAGGGCCACACAGGACAAATACTAATACCAATTCCACGTCAGAAGGTGAAGACTCGCCCTCACACAAGGTCAGATCTGACAAACGTCTAGCCTCAATTCCCGACGACTTGCCTTCACTTGAGGATCAAAATCAGACAAATTCTTCCCGAACACTTAGTGACTCCTCACACGCTGCCAACAGTAAGACACAAACCCTTCCAATGCACGACGAATCCTCTCCCGTACACAGTTATGAGGCTGAGATGAACAGCATTTTGAGGCAGACGCTTTCGTCCTCCTGCAACAAGCTCCTGGACGAGGTGAATCGTGGGATCTTCGAGAAGCACGCGTCGTGGGCACCCTGGACCCCGCCCACGACCCCTACCACAGTGCATGATAACCCGGTGTTCCAAGACTGAGTGTGCATGATTGCTATCCATATTGCATGTGAGTAAAGTCTGTCATGAGTCTGTGCTATCATGTAAAGTCTGTTACTTTTGTCTGTCTGTACTGTCTGTCTTGCCGTCGTGTACATATTATGCAGTAGTATCCGGCTCTGTTCTTCATATGCTTATTTAATGTTAGAGCGGCTGTGCGTATTTCAGTGTTCAATGGCGATTTATTTTCAATTTGCTTCGAATGATTTTAATCCAACTTTAAATATATTACGGCTACTTCTTCCCGCCTCAACAAAGCAGCTTGCCTTATGTCGCTGCTAACATTCCTCTCCTACAATACAATTTATGTGAAGCTTAAAAAAAAAAATAATAATAATAATAAACTTTCTTAAAGTCTCCATTTTAAAGCTAAGATGTCATCTTCAAATTTTTCACGAAAAGTTAAATTAAAACATCACAAGATCCTTTTAGAAAATTCTATTGTAAGAGATGTATGTCTCTTTAACTTTTTATTATTATTGTTATTATTATTATTATTATTATGATGATTATGATTATTTTTATTTGTTGATTCATTTGCATCAAGTGTGTTTAGACCCTCAATTGATTCCGGAATATTTCGGTGGTTTATACTTTCAGGTCGCTTATCTTACTATTACTCGGCTTCCTTTACCGTTCTTCCCCGACTTAACCACAATCTTTTTGGCAAATCACGACCTTTTCTAGTGAACACAATTATAAAGGCGAGCTAAAAAGTAAAGACGATAATAAAGACACAAACGAAATACAGAAACAAGAGCTGTGGTATATAGAAAAGAAAAAACGGTTAAATATAAAAAAGTGGGAGAAGAGAAGAAGCGAGGATGATCCGAGAGTGAAGCGAGGCAGTAAACGTTTTATCCCTGCTTCTTAGACCCAAGGCGAGTAAAAGTCCCTCTCCCTCGACCCTACCCCCCCTACCTACGCCTCCATTAGCTTACAGTATACACCCTTCCCCCTACCGGTACAGTACACCATCACCACTATCTTACACCTACACTATCACCACTAGCTTACACCTACACTATCACCACTAGCTTACACCTGCACCATCACCACTATCTTACACCTACACTATCACCACTAGTTTACACCTACACCATCACCACTAGCTTACACCTACACCATCACCACTATCTTACACCTACACTATCACCACTAGTTTACACCTACACTATCACCACTAGCTTACACCTACACCATCACCACTAGCTTACACCTACACTATCACCACTAGCTTACACCTACACCATCACCACTAGCTTACACCTACACCATCACCACTAGCTTACACCTACACTATCACCACTAGCTTACACCTACACCATCACCACTAGCTTACACCTACACTGTCAACACTAGTTTGCACCTACACTATCACCACTAGCTTACACCTACACCATCACCACTAGCTTACACCTACACTGTCAACACTAGCTTACACCTACACCATCACCATCATCACCAGCCCAGATCTACACCACCACCACAGCCATAAACCCCCTAGCTCTCTCTCTCCCAGCCCTTACTTCTGTAGAATCAAAACACTGCTACATTATACAGCATCGTCACATATCTCCATCCCCCCACTTAAGTTTTTTCATTACCAAATGAGAAACTCTTAATGGCTGTGGAATATAAAGGACGTCTTCTTTAATATATTGTTTTATTTTCCCATTTTGTTTGCTATCCTTGCTGCACCAAGAACTTTTATTCCATGTTTTTGTCATATTTATAATGGGGGTTGTGATAGTTAGGAACTGCAAATAAAAAACTGTTTATATAACTTGTATCGTGTGCTAAGTCGATTGTCTACACCCGTGTGGTTCATCAACGTTGTAATGACAAATACCGTCTCATTTACGCATTGTTGACATTTTAACATCACATGATTGACAGTAGATAAGAAATAGCTCACACGAAGTATTAATCCTTTGAGGACAAAAGGTTTAACACATTGTCCCCAAAGGGATATGTCATATTCCAGAGTTAAACCTTCGTCCTCAAAGAGTTAAATCCTCCTCCTCAAAGGACTAGGAGATTGGTCATGGTTACACCTCCGTCGATGGAACCCTGACTCATATTGAACGCCGTCAGTACCTTGTCTGTCGTCCCGGGATTTTTCTCTGCCCCACAGTTTCTTCTTACCCTAATCTTACCGAAGGTCCAGAGCGACAACGTAGAAGGAAAGTGTGGACCGTCAGTAAGACAGTGAGTGTCAAGATGCTGTAGTAAACAAAGTGTCAACGAAGACCTAATCACAATGATTCTCCAGCTAGGGTTTTATCGATGGAGCGAAACGTAAAGTACAAGATATATTTATTCAGAATCCGGGAAAATACATTGTTTACCTTTTTCAGACCGCGGGAAGGGGCGCAACAAGGCGGTAGTGGAGGAGCTGAATGACAAGACAATGATGTCACAGGTCTCCCTCTCTGACGCCGCCGCCATGCCCGAGTGTCACGAACTGCCAGAAGTGTTCGTGGATAAATGATAAAACTGCAAGAGGAGAGAACGCGGAAGATAAACGTCCGGAAGATGACAACTTACAGAAAACTACTCCCCAAAAAGGAGTAGAAAAGAGAAAAGGTGACTAGAAATATGAACAATTAACACGTGACTATTAGATGTGAAGAGATAACGGTATAAGTGTATGGAATAGATGATACTATTTGAAGCAATTTGGATAAAGAGAAAACGGAGATACTGTAGGATAAACTGAAGCAAAAAGAGAAAATACGGCTAGAGTTGATGAAAAATAAAGGAAATTTGGGTAGATTATAGATTACAAAAGTACAACTACTTTCAATATATATTTAGTTGTTTTGAATCTGTTCGGGAAACACAAACTAAGAGAAACTGAAGTTACTGGGAAACAATAGAATCCACTTTCATACCGAGAGAGGATTGTCACCTCAATAAGGGTCTGTATTATTGTATGTCTTTTTCCAGTTGGTTGTTGGGATCACATCATGTATATGTAAAAATAATATATTTTGTTTACTGTAAATTGTGTGTGTGCATTTATTTCTAATTGTCACAATTATTATAAGATATGCTACACAATCACCCACACTGTATATACAGGATTCGAGCGGTATTTACACTAAAATGAGTAAATAGTTGTTTCTGAGACCTTCTGGTTATTTTTCTCCAGCCGTTAGATTAATAATACTGACCAAGACAACGCTTAAGACAACGCTTAGTTGAGCCTCAAGCTGCGAGGTGCATCATGGGTACTGCCAAACATCCTGTTCCTGTGTCAACTACGACTCTGTTTAGCCTATAATACAGACATGTCACTAATAAAAAAGTGTGCGTAAAACGTTGTATTGTGCAAGTATAGTCAAAATCCTACTTTGGTTTAATAATTTAATGGTTGAAATCCATAAAAGATAAAACAAAACTCACTTGACTCATATTGACAACAAACTGGCAGCACTCACGGACCCATAATGTACCGCGCCTCTGAGTCTCTTGTCTTGGCTCACGATGATGTTTACTGCGTTATTATTACATGTTCTCCAGCAAGTACAGTTGGCAAAGACGAAACTGGAATCACATTATATTGAGTACAGTGTTTGAGGATTAATGTGAGGTAAGGTGCTGCTGAATTTATGTACAGTTAACCTAGTTGTATTAGATAGTGTTGTACAGTGTGTTTTTTTTATATATAACATGTCTAAACATTCGGCATTTCACAGTATGATAAACTATGCTTATTAAACTGTGTTGGGTAGACTTAGCTTTCCTTAAGTGTAAATATGGAGTGAGGAATGTTGAAGGCAAAGTGCAGGAACGGTACTGTCCAATTATTATTATTATTATTATTATTATTATTATTATTATTATTATTATTATTATTATTATTATTATTATTATTAATCAACTGAATTCTTATATACATATAGCCTAACTTAGTGTTGTGTTATCTTCACAAATGTATATAACGTGCCCAGTCGGTATAAATAAATGCTTCTTGAGCTTATAAAGAATGAAACAATGTATATATAAGGAAGAAAATACGGCTTTGGGGTGCTTATTGCCGTGTGTGTGTGTGTGTGTGTGTGTGTGTTAGAGGCGACTGTCCACCCACACGAATGGTTCTCTGATCACCGTATAAGCGCATTTGAATACGTACAGTATATGAAAATACCCAATTACGTCAAGATGTTACGATATAAACACACAGTTATATAAGTGTTCCATACGTCACGATCACCATGCACTCACCTGCAGTGCTTATGTTCCCGCCTGTGAACTTGACGTGATGTAGTGTCTCATATTGTGTAGCCCATTATTATTATTATTATTATTATTATTATTATTATTATTTGTAGATACGGTGAAGTGAACCAGAACGTGTGGTGTACGGCCGAGCTACTTTTACGGGAAGAAATGCGTTTCTAAGGGTAAAAACTACATATTCATAAGAGGTTTAGCTGGAAAGAAAGGGAATTATTTGGGAGAAAAAAATCTAATCAATGAGGAGGGACTTGGCCAGCCTAGAGCTAACTTTATACAGTGGTCGCAATGTTTATGTATATTTAAGACTCTTCATATTTATAATTTATTTTTCTAAAGATTTTTCGTAACAATATATAACTCTACAGTAGATTAAATACTGACCATAATGGGTAGAGAGCGATTGTAGGTCGGTGATTGGTTAGTGAGAGAGACGCCATCTTTATGTCGAGAGATCTTACATGTAAAGATACACAACACGCCCATTGAACAGTGTGTGTGGTTGTAGTTAGAATATGTTTGGATAGGATGTAATAACTGATACTGATTTAATTAGTTGATGGGTCTGCTTCAGAATGATGACGTCATGGTCCCTATACTCATAGCCTGGCTGACGGTCGCTCTCATAGACAGTGTTCATTACAATAGCTTTTTCTTGCGGTGAACTTTGGGATCACAGGAAGATTAGCCCCCAGCTTATCTCACCTAAAGATTAAACACTAACGCTAACCTAACTCCTCCCAAGTGTCTAATCATCCGGTGATATAAGCTGGGGGATTAATCTTGTGTGATCCGACCTTTGTAACACAGACATAACAAAGTTGTTGTATCACAATACTCAGTACCTGGTGGTGATGTGCTGTTGTGCTGTTTATTGATATATCCCAGTGTAGTGAGTCGCCCTCACCTGGGAGGTAGTTCTCAATGCTGTCTAGCCCTTTTGAGTACGATGACAACCTCTTGAGTATGATGATTTAACCCCCTGAGAAGGATGACTTTATTTACAGGATTATTTCATCATACACAAAGGGGGTTAAATCATCGTACTCGAAGGGTTGTCATCAGTCACACTCAAGGGGTTAAGTAAACATTCACCAAACACAGTTACTTTTATCCTCTTCACCAAATGATCGGCTCGTTAGCCGCTTGGGCGATCGGTCACGTCTCTGTTACGCACTACTCGTGTGTATTTTTACTCTACATATGTACGCGTGAGTGTACTGTACAGTTACCTTAAACATTTGGTACCATATACTTATAACATATGTATAGTTACCAAACATTGCTGAATATTCTTAGCATTTTCCTAAATTATAGTTTCCAGAACACAGATCCCTTTATATAGTTGATGATGACAGTGGCAATAATACCCATTAGTGAAGAGAACATTATAGGTTGGTACACATTAGCCTTCGGCGTCTGGTTCTTCCGTGTAACTGATAGATTTAAGACTTCTGCTGACCCGAGCATGTCACATCCCTTGTGTACTGTACATAGCTTGTAACATAATTTTGTACTATAGTAGGAGCTTGTGTTGGCGCCCATGTAGTACAACTTAATACAGTAGTCTATTGTTGAGACGTTTACCTGTGCGTGTGTGTGTGTGTGTGTGTGTGTGTGTGTGTGTGCGCTCTGCCTACCGCCTGCTATCTCTCCTGTACCCTTCTATCACCTCAATAAGGACCAATAAAGTACCTGCTCCCTGGTTTGTTGTGTTATTGTACTCCCCTTCATGTGTAAATGATATAATGAAAAGCATATTTTTTTCATTAGGTGAGAATAGTTTTGAGAGTTCGGCGTAGCTTCCACTAAACAAAATACCATCGCAGAAATTACATTGGACGACCTCCCAGAGGCCAAATCCCGCCAACTAATTCATTACGTGAATCAAATCCCGTCAAATTATGTCTTTTTTTTAAGCTGTAATATCCCTTTAGATCAGGAGGTCCTTTGACAACAATACTGCACCCTCCAGCTGCCGGCCCTAAGAATATGAGTTCAGAGAGGAAGGTTTTTAGTGGTTGTTACTTTTATCGTTTTCATAGTTGTCCGGGCAATATCTCAGGCACTTTTTGAGCTGGGCGCTGCCGGGGGTATCCCGGCTTTCTAAAAATTAAACAAAACTAAATAGACTTTGAATCATGAATCTATTAATAAAACAACCCTAAAAGAGAAATGCCCGTATTGTTCGTAAATTCTGCTGTATGGTGTCGTGTACACTACCGTATATCCACACTTAATATGCGGCGTAACTCTGTATTCACACAATGTGAGACGTGAGAGCTAGGACACTTCACGGTGATCTCACAACATTCTCGACACTTTATGGCAACTAATTTTATGTAGCATCTTAATGAGTCATTTACATACAGTTTAACACCTTCATTTAAGATAAGACTCAACACCAACAAATATACCAAGATTCGAACCCACCTAGGAACGTGTGTGTGTGTGTTATCCTTTTTTGGGGCTTACAGAAAGTCGTAAGTGTCATAACTTTGGTGCAAGATTTCTCACAATGCCAGAATTACCTTAACCATTACATTATTTACAGTCACAAAATTAAAATAGTTATTTTTCATAGATACTACATTAAAGGTACAGAATAATGTAATCTTCCGCCCTCACCCGTCACTCTTCCATGAGCCTCACACAATGTTAATGTCAGAGACCCTTGGTGCTAAACTTTTAGAATTATTTTATCTTTCCATTATTAATCACCCAACAAACTTGTTCTTTTAGATTCTCTGAAGGTTCTATCTCTTTGAAGTTTCTTAAGTGAGTCGTCAACATGCACTCTCACAGTTGTCGGGGAAAAAAATGTTACGGACGAATTTCTGAAAATGTGAACCTAACACACAAACATACACATGTGTGTCCACGTTCTCACATTTTCAATAACCAGAGAGGATGCAACTGTCGCGGCTTCACCACTCGCCTACCGAGGAAATTTGAAGAAGATCCGAGTCCTTGAGACGTTCTTGTGTGGATCGCGAGCTTTGGTGGTCCGTGGGGAGGGAAACATTTTAAATTCATGATGGACTAAACCTGGAAAAGCAGGCGATGTGGTGCAGTTCTGTGTATGTTCCGTCTTCGTATCTATTTCTTCCCACTTCCCTATTTACTGTACTCGAGCGAGGGAGCATCTTATCCTTTGAGTAAAGCGCATATCTTTCCCTCTCTCTCCCTAATACACATGCTCTCATATTTTTGGATTACCTGAAGGTTAGTCCCCCCCCCCCCAGCTAGTTACACCTGATAACTAAACGCCCTAACTCTTCCTTAGGGGTTAGGGTAAATTATGTAAAGTCATGTTAGGTTAGGTACAGAAAGCGTTAACGTGTGTTTGCTGTTGCTGATATTGTCCTGACTATATAAACAAAGTCAACGAGGGTATTGCAGATCATAAGGGAAAGAAATCCTTAGAATCGAAAACAGAGGAAGCTGGATCCTTGTTGGTTGCCAAACTACTGTAGAGCAAGTTGGGAGAGATTCTCACTTAGACTGAAGAAGTAGCCGATAGGATAAAGGGAGTAGTTAAGAAGAGCTATGCTCAGGTTGCAGCCGGGTCACAGAAGATGACTGAGACAAATGTAAGATCCGAGCAGGTGTTACAGCAGCCAGGGTCTCTAGTGAAGAGTGTTGAAAAGATTAGAACCAGTAGACCTACTGATATGGGAGAGGTGGAACGCCAGGATCGGCTCGACCGCAGGAACAATTTATCGTGTTTGGAGTCCCTGAGAGTCAGTCAGAAGAAGCTGAACGTAAAAAATCACACGACAAGATGAAGTTACAGGATATCTGTACAGAGGCTCTCAACCTGTCAGCTACTCCTCATGAGGTGAAGAGGCGACAGATGCTGGAGAATAGCCCCGCCCCCTCAGCTCAGCTCAGGATGATACCATTAGAGAATGAGGAATTTATCCTGCAGGCCAAAAACCTGGCAGGGATAGCAGCAATTCGGAACATATTCAAAAGTCCAGATCGCAAGACAGTACAGAGGGAACAACACAAAGAACTAATAAGCTTGAAGCAGAAGAGAGCGATTCGATCATAAACGCGGACGGACTTGGTGGGTTATATATACAAAGAACTTTAAGATAGATACTTATATAGAACAGGACTAAGAACAGAAGAATATAAGTATATAAGTATAGAAAGGAAGAATAAATAGAGTAAATCTGAAGTAAGGAAAAACGGACCCTTACACCAGTACAGGACCAGTCACGCCCCCCACCCAGGAGGCGCGCACCGTGTAATCCTCACATACCCTATCCTCACCACATGACTTCACTGTGATCATCACACACTCTGTGAACCTCACACATCTTGTGATATCACACTGATCCTCATACACCCCGTGATCCTCACACTATGATCCTCACATGCTCCGTGATCTCTACACACCCTGAGGGTAATCATCACATACCCTGTGATCCAGGAAGTCCATTCTGCATCACGATAGCAAGAATTTAACGCGGGCAAAGAGTGAGTTTCGGCAGAAGAGGCCGCCACCTCATGGCCTTCAACCCCCAGCATTGTTCACTACTACACCTATGTATACCCTGGTAGGCGGTGACTTTATACTGATTGTGCGGGAACCTTCCTATCTGCCCGGTAATGAAAATAGTAAAACCAATTCTTGTTTATAGAAACATTCCTGAAATATTTTGTCAGTGTGGAAGTATGGTGCAACACTGCATTTCCTTCCGATATTTCGATGAGCTTTCAATGAATCATATAATTATGAGGACGTTATTTTGGAACCTGATCAGACCGACTTACGACTTGATAATACGACGTGATCTTCAACTGGTGAAAATATAAGGTTTCGAGGACCGAGGTGACCCGCTACGTTTAAAGATTAAAGATACGGATATCTTAGAAATACAACATTTAAATGACATTACGTTACGGAAATATAAAAATTAAAATCGATGCTTTTGATATTTTCATAATGGATTCATTAAAATTGCTTTTGATAAAATTAAGCTAATTGATTATGGAAGTCCATCTATTGGAGAAGTACGACTTGTCTGGACAAGTCTAGTGACTAAAAGACACATGTAAACAAGTCCCGTTTTCTCTGACGGGGGTGAACAGTGTTGCCATTTCGTAAATAACGTTGTTTACTGGACGAAGTGAAAGATCATCCTGACTGTTTTTACTTCTTCTATCTAAAAATTCCCTAATCCTCGCTTTAAACTGCTTAATGAACATATAAAATAACGTTTGTAGTTTCGGATGCATAAATTTGCGCGCTGCCTGTTTAACCTTGCGTCGTTGTCAATGAAGTATGCGAAAAATCTTATGTTGTGACGTACAGTAATGTCAAAGAAAATTGTGGTGTAAATTCATATGAATCACAGAATTTGGGTAAATGCCAGATATATGAAAACCAACATTAGTAATTTGTGTATACAGTATTCATTCATTCTTCTGATGATACTGTACTGTTTTGTGAAGGCACTACACAATTTTGTAGAGATACTATTCGTTAATCAAATAAAAGTATAGTACACCAATAATTTATCTCAAAAAGACAGATAGACAAAACTACTGAGCGTGTTATTTTACACTGAAAGTCAAGGAAAAAATCGTCAAAAATTATTGATCGTAGAGTGGTTGGTGGTGACGCTACACCAATATTATAGACAACACTTTATGTGAAAGGAAAATACCACACAGGGATGTATTTAAAACATAAGACAAATTTTACAACTTGTTAATATTTCGTAAGGGAAAAAAACACTTTAATTACGGCGTATTTTCCCAAGCTGCTTAACTAAAACAGCTTGTGTATAATGTTACACTGGCATAATAATTGGTTAAAGAACTGCGAATTATTTTCAAAAGACCAATCCATGAGCCCCAACTGTATCACAGTGTGTAATTAAAGCGTAATAGTTTCTGCGCAATGCAGCAGGCCAAATAAAAATGCAAAGTATTTTCCGGTGACGCACGACACGACATCGAGTTCAACAATAATCGTGTTGTAACACCACACATTAAAAAATAATTATCTTCGTCTGTGTAACTCAGTGTTCTGGCTTATGATCAGTTAGTTCAAAGACGAAAATATTGAGGAAGTAAAAAGAAAGAGGGGGGTTTTCTAGAGACTTCTTAACAAATCCAATAGATAATATGGAACCAGAGTATATTTCACACTGAGATGTAAGAGCCTGTTAATTTAAGCAGCTTATCGTAAATTAATAAAACGTTATGTAAGGAGTTAATGCATGGGAATGCAGTACTGGTAGTTTTGCATCAGATGATTAAATCCAATGGTTGGCATCTGGCAACACTGCAGAGGGCGCAGCTGCCGGATCGATGGCCTTGAAGCTGTTCGAGACGCAGATCGTCTCTCTTTCCATTGTCGCCTAAATTCTATGTAACTTTTGGTGTACATGTTGATCTTCCTGTGGCACTCAAATGTTATTTATAGTATTTATAGATTTTCATATCGAGGTGTTGTATATCTTAATTAATGTGACATGGACGAAGAAAATTCAAAAATAGAAAATCCAGCGATTATTAGTCTCGAACTACAGTTGTGAGGACATAGCGCGCCCAAACAAACCAGCGGAATTGCTCATACTAATTTTCGAGATTTAATGGTTATTGTACGTTGGTAGTGACTGAACTTGACACGGTGGATTCTGAACAAGCCTAAAATGGAACAGAACACCATCTCATAGGTAAGAATGAGCTGCCTTGATTACTAGACGTTAGTTTGAAGTAGTGGGTGATATTGGCGGGGTATGGCGGTGAGTGGCGGCTGGTGCTGTCTGCCACCACCACAACACAGCATGGCGCTTTGTTTACCTCCGTCACTACTGGCGCATCCCCGGCCCCCCAACCATACACCTGCCACATACATACATACACACTAGATGATACAGCTGCCTTACTAATGTACACATCGGCGACACCACTCTACCACAGTGGTGTTGGTGACAGGTGTAGGCAAGAGGTCATACAGGCCACTGATGTACAGGCACACAACTTTCCCTCGCTCCCTCAATATACATAACCTTTCACTACTGTATAGAGTTGATATAGGAGCTGTATAGTGATTCAAAACATGCTTTGTGTTATTGGTTTGTTAATAGGGGTTCCTTGCATACTTTGTTTTGCTTGGAATATAGAACTTTGAGAAAATGGTTGAGTTTTGATGTCACCATTAGGGTTACCAGTTGTAAATCAGAATATAATTAACGCTGTGCATGGTGATCGAATGTAGGAAATCAGTTACAGGGAAATGTCACTATAAAGTCACTCTATAACTAACTGGTAGAGGCAACTTTACAATGAAATATAAGTTCATTTTACAGCCTAAATGTGACATAACCAAAGAAAATATTCAAAATCTAACTTCCCAAACCCCAACCTAAACCAACATTGGCCAATCAAACCTAACCTAACCTAACCTACCTTGTTAATGGTATTTATAAGTAAAATGTGGCTTTTTTTTTCAAACTAAAGTTATGACTTTTTTCCTGTGACATTATTTCCATTCAACTGATGGGTTAAGCTCAAATGTTTCATACATATACACAAATAAAATTAGTTTTACTTTAACACAGTTCATGTACAACAAGCTTTTCGTAGTCAAACATGAAAGATTTTTACCTTGGACAATAATTCTGGTTCACAAAACTATACTGTGTCATGCTGCTTTCTTCAAACACACACAGACACAAACATGAATACTGCTACTTTTGGAATATGCTGCTGAAATCACAATAAACACTTCTTATCAATTCTGCACTACTTTGAGGAGAATTTTGTTGTTATCATCTTGAACTGTAGTGATAATTAGTATACATGTACAAAGATAGAAAAATTTCCAAGCATTTTAAATCCGTATGACCCAAACAGAGCTCACTGAAATATGACCTGACCTTTGCCAAAATTCAAAGTTTGTGTCCTTTTGTTTATTAATACTGTATAGAGAAATGGAGATTATAGCAATTTAAAGCTTGTTTTATAGAACTACTTACCTAATGTATAAGGAAAGGCTTGCATGTACAAAAAGAATAGGTAAACAAGGCACATACTATATCAATTACTTTATCTTGTCAACTTGTCATAGCAATTTAGTTTGGATAGAGTTTCCAGTATGTTCCGTACAGATCAGCTGTATCTTCTTTTTTACCGTCTTAAACAGTTTTTCTCCACAAGTAGGTCACATTTCCTGAATTGTAAAGTGGACTTTACTGTACATACACTAATTTAAAGCATTGCCATGTAGTTGATGACAAAGGATTGTTATGGTCATTTGATATTTAATACTGTATATTATTTTTTGAAGAATGTATAATATTTCTTGTTTTCTTTACCTTAGCAGATATCTAGTCTTTAAAGTTTTATATGTTGACACTTCTGAATTTTACTGTTATTGAGAGGATGTTGTTTGGTGTCTCTCATCTATCAGTTTAAAGATTTATAAATTACAGTAAAGGTATGAAGCTAATTTCCTCATAATTAATCATTTTTTATTAAAGAAATTGTGAAATATGTTAAGTGCATGTTGTGAAATAAATTATACTGTATGAAAGTTTATGTAGTGTATAGTATACATTACTAGCAGTGGATTATTTTTATAGCTAACTGAGGCAACCCATGCTTTGTGTTGACAAGCTTTTGGGTTTGATTTCAGGGTTCCCAGGAACTTTGCACTTGTATGACTGAGACATACAGCAGAAATTCAGTAAAACTGGAGATGATACAGGTATCTCCCCTGGCTTCCAAAGGCTGAGAGCTGTGAGTCGAATTCACTATGCCTTCTGTGCTCTCACCTCACAACTCCGGTAGACTATAACACAGGCCTCTGACTCACCAGACCAGTTACCAGTTGTTCCTTCTGCTTGGATGTGGCTCAGCTGTGTTTTATTTGCAGCAGCTATGTCTGTTTTTATTTATTTGTTTTTAAATATACCAGGTAATTATTTTATTTAGAGAATTTGTCAGAGGCTAAACTGGTTGCACCTCATTCCTGAATTATTGTAGTATTCTTTGGGTGTATTTTGCTGCAAGTGCCTTTAATAAATTTTAATGACAAATTGAGGGATTAATTGAGAGAAGCACAATTGGGTATTTGCATCACCTGGCATCTGTGCATATTTCCCAATTTTCCCACAACATTAACCTCATGGGATTTTTAAGTTCCCTTAGGGCTTTCTGAAATGGAAGGCCAGGAAATATCTGTTTCAGGAGTCCAAACTTGAAATCTTCCCTTAGGGTATATAGTACTATATACAGTAACTATAGGCCTTGTCATGGAGTATATGAGAATCCTTCAGAGGATCTGACAGCCTGTTAACTTTGGCTGGGTGGATCTATGAGAACAATGGATTCTTCTAAGTTACCTTGGCCATCCATTTTAGGGAGGCATTTATGGGTGATTTTCACATGGGTATGCTGGTCTATAAGGCTGCATTTTAGGACCTTTTTAGAAGAGATATTAAGAGTATGCTCTCTTTGAAGCAGTACTACTCATATCCAAGGGTTTTAAATATCAGAACTTCATATGATAGGGGTGGCCTTAGACTATGTGACATTGATATAGAGGTGATCCCAGCCCCAGTGAAGAAAAGCAGGAAAAGTCTTACAGTGCATATTCTTTGGTTCTTCACTGTTTTGAGTCAATCTGTTGGAGTTTCAGTGTTGTCAGTGAAGCAAACTCTTGGTGTAAGTCTTGGATAGAATAATCTTCTGGCATAGAGATCAGATAGGAATTTTCATTCACTCTTTCTGAACACTTATTCATAGTTATGTTTGTAAGCAAATTATGTACAGTATTAACATTCACTGAATGTTAGCCATAGGTGTTAGTGTGGAACTCAAGAGCCTTGCAAGTTTCATGATGAAGGCCATTGGACTCACCCAGCTGGGCTGCATCCTTGTAGGCACAAGGCCTTAGAGAATTGTGTTGTCTTTGCCTTCCTACAGTATAAGTGAAGTATAAACATTAGTGAGATAGAATATCTAGATGGTCCTTTAGTGCATCTAGGAGCTTGTGGTGCTATTTATGGGTTCCTAGGATGAAGTCTCACTGATGCATGTAGTTGATGCATCTGTCATTCCATCTCTACTAGCTGGTTTGAGTGAACACGAGTTGCCTGAACATCATTGTCACGTAGAAATTATTCTCAAATTCCATTTTATGACCAGCTTAAACCAGGTAACCTCCTTCCTCCCTAGTGATACTGAAGCAAGCTAGTAACTGAAGGGTGATTGAACCCTGGGCTTGTAGTGAAAGTTTGCTTGGGTTGGTTGCAGGGTGGTGTAAACTCTCAGCTTTTGGCAATTGGCTCAACAGTGAATTTTGATGTAGTACATAAGTTGCTTCAAGCAATGATACAGTATTTATGAAATTGGGTAAAGTAGTTGCATGTAGTGATAGATGATTTCTAAACATTTTACATTTCAGATTACTACACCTGATTTCACATGAAGTGATTATATAAGGCTGTATCAAGGAGATTTTTACATAATGGACAATACAGAGGTTAGTTCTCTATACAGTACAATATTTTATAATTATGATAATGTATAACCTAGCCACACAAAAGTTATTGATATGAATATTAAAGAGAATATATTTGCTAATTATTGTATTATTTATTTTGAGTATGAATTAACAAATCATATGCAGAACAAGCAGAAAAGGTTTATTGCAGAAATATGAAAACTGTGCACAAGGGGATTGATCCTGGCATCACTTTATAACCGTTTGTTGGGATTGAGCAACTCTGTACTGCATAGCTGTTAACACTAAGGGAGTTGGATCCTTGGGCCCTAACTTGTAGAACTAGGGTCTAAAAATGAAATACTCTCTCCTGTAAATTAAAAAGTTACATTGTCATGTACCTACATTTCCAGGGAGAAAGCTGAAGAATTATTGTTGCTAAGCATTGAACATGATCTCTCCAAGCCATTCATTTGTTGGCCACTGACTGCAAGGTGATGTTATCAAGATCAGTACTTCAGATCTAGTCACACTGTCACCCAAAGTGGTCCTACTCATCAGCTGTCCTGACATGATGGATCAGAACATCTCTCTTTATGCTACACCCAAACTCTTAAAGCCTTCTCCCTTTCTAGTTTACCAAATGACTATCCTTTGTGAGCCTCCCGGTGAAGGTTATCCAGTTTTTAAATTTACATACTTAATTTTTAGATCTCGGTCACAAGTCAGGGTCTTGGGGTCTGTGTTTTCAATCTATAAACTTACTGGTTTTGCAAGTGTCACAGTCCAGTCATGATTAAAAAATAAAATTTCAGAATCAGTCCTCTACTTCTAGTGTAGCCCATAGCTATGTGCCTTAAATAGTCTCCCTTCTTCCTTTGGTTTGTGGCTTAGCCAACTGGAACTAAATTTCAACATGGCACATTGACCTTGAAATCAAAGATGACGGACAGTAGCCCTGGCACAAAGTGTGCTGATTGGACAATCGCTTCTCATGTAAGACCCTTTGCCTGTTGAGTGCAACTGTTGCATGTAGTCTACCTCTTCTGAGGCTTACAGTGTAATGGAGATGGATGGGTGATTGGAATTGGACCTTAACAGGTTAACAGACCAATTCTGGCTTGCTGTATGGGGGACAGCCTGGAGACTCCAGGCTGTATGTACAGTATTACAAGAACCTCCTGGCTATGGGCTTCATTTTGTACCTGACTTGTTTTAAACATTTGATAGTTAAACCATTGTGTGATTTTATAAAATAAATGTGTATCAGTGTTCCTTGCTCATTGACACTTGAAGGCTTGAGATAGTTGATGTGTGGCATATCTGGGAAGAATGTGAGTGGATAAGTCTGTTTTAAATGCAGGAAAAGGTGATGGAAATTTTTTTATGATATTAATAATTTTATAAATTAAATCCTGAATTTTGACCCATAGATTATGTTAATTGGTTTACCATCTGTATTTAAACAGACATGCTTTATGGAGTAACAAATGAGTACAGTACTATAATTGTAAAATAAGTTCATTGATAATTTGACTCTTAGATACCCAAGGGTCATGAAATTGGGAATGAATACCAAATAACTTATTACCACTTTTGGATAATTTTCTGTTCCAGCGTGTGACTAAGATTAGATCAAAGTAATGTTTTGTACAGTGTAGTTTAGTGAAATAATTGCTGCAGTCTCTAGTCTCTGAAAATATTCAGCCATTATGTAGTCATCAATAAGATGTTTGCATTTTTATCCAACCAACATGCATTTAGGGCCCACATTAGTGTTCTCAACTATAAAATAAATAATAATAATAATAATAAACGGTTTATTAATAGAGTTGCAGCCGGTGGCTGAAAATGTACAAACTTACATGTGATTTAGACATAATGATATACTTTCAATACATTTACAGGGCTGTACAGTACATAAATCAGGAGTTGTTTATTATTTTAACAATAGATGGGATGGTGCTATTCTTATATACTGTACTAGATGATAGTGAGTTGACACATTACAATATCTTAAAATTTCTCTGTTTTACAGGTTATGCCAGGCACTTCAGAAGGAGGGGGACTGTCTCCCATTAGTGTGGTTGTTACAACTGTTATAACACCTACTTCCATAACTGCTTCAGAATCTCCTACCAGCTCAGATAACACTAGACGTCGCGTCTCTCCTATCAAACTAGTCGGTGTTGGTGGTTTAGAACGTCAGAACTACTGCTGTGGTCACTGGTTTCCTTCGTCGAAGAGCTTTCACCGCCACCTGGCAGAGAAAGCCCTTGTGGATCTCACACATGAGATGAAACTAATTGAGCTGGGAATGTTGAGGTGCGCACACTGTTCCATGTGGGTACATGTAGACAATATGAGTGGTCACCTAAGGAAAAGTCATGGTATCATCAAAGTGAACAAGACTTCCAAAATAATACCTGGGAATACAGTTAATGAAATTAGTGGGATTAGTGCAGACACATTGAAAACAGGAACAAATTTTGTAATAAAGGTCAGTGGCCAGTCTGCTGTGAGATCTTCTAATGGTGAGATATCCAGTTCTATGGCAAATTCCAGCACTGTAAAGCTGGTGACAACTTCTAGTGGTAGCTTATATCATAAAGTGCATCAGCTTCAACATGCTGCCACCACTGGCATGGGTAAGGTCATTGTGCATAAATCAACACCAACCTCTGTACCTGTGGTCAGTAGGGGACCAAGAATAGTTATGAAATCTGTTGGACGAAAAAATGTTATTCCTTTGGGCAGTACCTCCAAGGGACTTTCGCTGCCAAAGAGTTCTCAGGCAGTATCGACCGCAGCAACTACAGCGAGAAATATAAATGGCCTCACTACAGTACAGATCACAGGAGGAAACATGACAGTATTAAACAATACGAGAGAGAAAACATCATCCACCAAATCTGTGGTGTCACATGATGGGTTATCAAATATGAATGGGCAGAGTTTTAAATTTATTAAAAAGATTGCAAATGTAAAGACAAAAAATAAAACTCTTGATTCCCAACCTACAGATGCCAGCCCCAGCACTGAGTTACCACTTAGTGCAAAAACCAAAGAGAAAGGAAAAGTCTCAGCAAATGGAGAAACTGCAGCTCTAAAACCTTCACAGGTAAAGAAAAGTCGTAAACAAGTGTTAAAACCCAGTATACCAGATGTGAGCTATGATGCAAACACATCCTTGAATGTCAACGGAAAAATTAAGAAAAGGGGAAAGAAACAATCGGCTGAGGCAGAATTATTCAATGCTGAAAAAGTGAATAGTGGTAATCCCTCTGTAAACCATAAAGGACACAGAAGAAAATCGAGGGAAGCTCCTGACTCTGAGAATTATACCCCAAAAACATCAAGACAGACTTCCAAGGGTGTTAGGGGAGGGTTGAAGAAGAAGAAGAGAGGACCCGGTCGGCCTCGTAAGATACGCATAGATGAAACCCCAGATCTGTCTGAAATAGATTCTCTTTTTGATGAGGTTAATAAAGAAGACTTGGAAAATGAGCCGGTTCTAAAGACAAAGAAAGAGGAAGAAAATGTCCCAACTGTTGAACTTGATCTGTTTACTCTCCCTTCCCTCAATGAACAGGTGTCTGTATTACTTACTGAACCTCAAAACCCAAACTTTAAAGTGTATGCGAGTATGGATGCCATCTTTGTGGGGGATTCTGCATTAGGGGATGTTACAAACCAAATAGGGTATGTAACAGATGCTAACAATGTTGTTTATGTTAACCCAAGTCACTTCCTCTTCCCCAATGTTGAAGATCTGGAAAACTTTGTACCTAGTCCAATATTGACTATGAAAGGAAGCAAGGTTGGTTTTACTCCAGTGAGACAAATGTGGAAACTTAATGCAAACAAAGCCCATACACCAGTTGTTCTAAGAGATAATAAATTTATAACTTTAAATGTTTCTAAAGAAGCCTCAAAAGAGTCTAATTGTGATGTAGGTTCTGAAAAAGTATGTTTGGATGATAGAGAATCTCAAGTCGCTTCTGTTTCTCTGAGACAGAATGGAAAGGAGAAGCTTGTAAAAGATACAAATGTTGATGCCAATCAGACTGAAAACGTTTTGAATGTAAAACCACTCAGAATAGTAAAGTCTGATGTTGGTCAAGATACTGATTGTACCAAAAATGTCATTACATCTAAAGTGAGTGGTACCAGTGAAACTGAAACATCATCTCGTATAACAAAGGAAATAAAGGCTTTGTTGAGTCCTAAAAGAAGAGATCTGAGAAGAAGGACTAGTTCACAATCAAGAGATGGGAAAGAGGAGGAAAAAGCCATTAAGTGTTCTGAAGAAAGCCTCCCTGTACTGTCATCTGTAGGGGATATTTCTTTGATTGGCAAAGGTTCACCTGGATTAAATCAAAGTACGGATGATGACTCCCAGTCCAAGATGCAGAGTAATATAATTTTTACTCAGGAAGTGATATCAGAAGGCTCAAAATCCCCAGTAATATTACAGAAGACATCAGTTTCTTCTTCAGTTGTAACTGAAGCTTTAGAGTTGCCCAACATATCAGATATGGAGGAGACTACCCAAAAGGAGGAGGTTCAAAATTCGGTAACACCTTGTAAACTCAACTCTGAAAGTACTTTAGAACTAGAAACACCTCTGTGCTTTTCTCAATTCAAGTCAGGAAACACATTAATTGTTCCTCAAGAATTAATGTCGGAAGATTTAGTATTGCCTGTAATATCAAAGACAAAACAAACACCTTCACCATGTAATAACATTAATAATGACGCTTTGATAGTTGGTTTTAAAGAAAATGAAACGGAAGAAGCATTAAAACATTTATCCCAGTCTGAAATGAACCACATCAGCCCTGTAGCAGATTTAGATACACCGAAGAAAAAAGACATGCCAAGGAGGAGGAGGAGGAGATCAAGGACAAAATCCGCAGACACAGTTGGCAGATCTATGGAAACTCGGCAAGGTGCAGAGTCTGGTTGTAATGATAAGGATGATTTAAGACATTCCAGAAGAAAAACTAGACAACTAAGTGAGAGTTCAGTTATAATGAAGGAGACAAAAAGCAATGAATGTGACAGGCTATCAATTTCTGATATGACATACAGATTGCGGATGGAACATTTACCATTGCCATTGGGTCAACAAAATAAAAAGGAGGAAGTGTTCGATGATTTGGTTGAACAAATGTCATATCCAGTAACACCCAGTAATCTCACAACAACACTCTCTAGTACAGAGTGCAGAACAGTTGAGAGTGTTTCACCTGAAAGAGAATCAAAGTACTCAATAAAGACCAGAGAAAATAGAGAAACACCTGTTATGGTGCATAATGAAGCTGAATGTAAAACTCCTGTAAGACTAGGGCGACAGAGGAGAAGAAGTAGCAAGTTATTAGAAACCCTGGGTGTAGAACCACTGAAAATAGGCACTGTTACTGCACCAGTGGAAGAAATACCTTTAGCAGAGAAAGATGGTCAAGATAGGTTGTCTGACCAAGAGAAGGCTAAGGTAGCAACCTCAGTAAGGGACAAGCAACTGAGCTCTAAATCAATAGATAGTATGACAGTAATTAGTCATAGTCTAAAGAGAGCTTCCCCACAGCAACGGGAAGATAGTCTAAAGAGAGCTTCCCCACAGCAACGGGAAGATAGTCTAAAGAGAGCTTCCCCACAGCAACGGGAAGATAGTCTAAAGAGAGCTTCTTCACAGCAATGGGAAGATAGTCTAAAGAGAGCTTCCCCACAGCAACAGGAAGATAGTCTAAAGAGAGCTTCCCCACAGCAACAGGAAGATAGTCTAAAGAGAGCTTCCCCACAACAATGGGAAGATAGTCTAAAGAGAGCTTCACAGCAACAGGAAGATAGTCTAAAGAAAGCTTCCTCACAGCAACAGGAAGATAGTCTAAAGAAAGCTTCCTCACAGCAACAGGAAGATAGACTAAAGAAAGCTTCCCCTCAGCAACAGGAAGATAGACTAAAGAGAGCTTCTTCACAGCAACAGGAAGATAGTCTAAAGAAAGCTTCCTCACAGCAACAGGAAGATAGTCTAAAGAAAGCTTCCTCACAACAACAGGAAGATAGTCTAAAGAGAGCTTCTTCACAGCAACAGGAAGATAGTCTAAAGAAAGCTTCCTCACAGCAACAGGAAGATAGTCTAAAGAAAGCTTCCTCACAACAACAGGAAGATAGTCTAAAGAGAGCTTCTTCACAGCAACAGGAAGATAGTCTAAAGAAAGCTTCCTCACAGCAACAGGAAGATAGTCTAAAGAAAGCTTCCTCACAACAACAGGAAGATAGTCTAAAGAGAGCTTCTTCACAGCAACAGGAAGATAGTCTAAAGAAAGCTTCCTCACAGCAACAGGAAGATAGTCTAAAGAGAGCTTCACAGCAACAGGAAGATAGACTAAAGAAAGCTTCCTCACAACAACAGGAAGATAGTCTAAAGAGGGCTTCTTCACAGCAACAGGAAGATAGACTAAAGAAAGCTTCCTCACAACAACAGGAAGATAGTCTAAAAAGGGCTTCCTCTTCCTCACAGCAACAGGAAGATAGTCTAAAGAGAGCTTCTTCACAGCAACAGGAAGATAGTCGAAAGAAAGCTTCTTCACAGCAACAGGAAGATAGTCGAAAGAGAGCTTCTTCACAGCAACAGGAAGATAGTCGAAAGAAAGCTTCTTCACAGCAACAGGAAGATAGTCGAAAGAGAGCTTCTTCACAGCAACAGGAAGATAGTCGAAAGAAAGCTTACTCACAGCAACAGGAAGATAGACTAAAGAGAGCTTCTTCACAGCAACAGGAAGATAGACTAAAGAGAGCTTCCTCATCCTCACAGCAGCAGGAAGATAGTCGAAAGAAAGCTTCACAGCAACAGGAAGATAGACTAAAGAAAGCTTCTTCACAGCAACAGGAAGATAGACTAAAGAGGGCTTCCTCTTCCTCACAGCAACAGGTAGATAGTCTTAAAGGAGCTTCCCCACAGCAACGGAAAGTGAAACATTTATCCACAGACCATATTGATAAAATTTCAGTTCAGAGACAAGAGCCAGTAGATGATACTTCTGGAAATCCTTCAACCGTATCTCAGTTGTCATGTAAACATTTTGATGTATTATCAGTTAAAACTGAAGAGGAAAACATCATTTGTAAGGAAAAAAGGAAAACTAGACTTCCCAGGGCAGAAATCTCATTACCAGTGTCTCCATTAAGAGAGAGTGACTTGTCTCCATCACGTGAGTGGCATGGGCGAGGTGCAAAACTTAAGGCTCAAGTGCTTATTCAGGACCAACAAGCTGGTGTAATAGACTCACAGATAATTCCAACTAGTAATGACAGATTGTCTCGTTCCAAAGAAACTACACCTGCTTCATATAATACCAAGGAGTCTTCCAGTCCAAAATTAGCAACATCACCAAGTTTGGAAACACGGTTTTCTCCTTCCACTCTACATCCAAAATCTCCAGGCACTATTAGTTCTCCCATCAGCCCTAATGCTTCAAGGTCACCAAAGTCGCCAAGGTCTGTACACGATAGAGAATGGCAAGCACGGGGAGCAAAGCTTAAGGCGCAGATAATGATAAGTGATCAACAAAACAGTATGATGGAGTTTACTGAAGATCGTTATTCACCGTCGCCCCCAGCCAAAAAGTTAAAAATCGATAATTCACCCGGAACAATGAAAGATATTCGCTCATACTTTGCTGTACAGAAATCGCCAACAAAAACATCTGATGAGAGACGTCACTCAGCTAGTTCAAGTCACGCTAGTAACTCTACAACCGTACCCAAGAAAACCAAGAAATATCCTTATATGAAAAGTGATATTAGGTCATTCCTTTCTTCGAGTGCAAATACAAAAAGAAAATATACGTCGCCGGAAAAATCGTATTCCAAAAATGTAAAAGCAAAGAAAATTACCTTTTCTATATTTCCTAAGAAATCACCAAAGAAAGAAAATGTTCAAGCTGTTCATCACTTGCGTAAGAAATTTGAACTTTTAGGAAATAGAACCTCAAAATTGTCTGCTCCCACTCTTCCTATTGCTTCATGTGACTTTGAAGGTTTTGATAGGTGCTCCCGACAATCGGGTCTCCGAGCCAAGTCTCTGTTAAGACTAGTGTCTTTGTTAGACATGAAAAGATGGTACCACTTGGGGAAGTTTCCTTTGCCAGTAGATGAGCTTTGTGATTGGGATGATGAGTTGTTAAGTTCCATACTCTTTGATTGAAATTTATGGAGAGCATTTAAAAGATAACTTTTTTATTATTATAACTCTGAAACCTTTTCTCATTGGTTCTATAGTAATTACTTTTGTTCCTATTTATGTAAATATACTTAATGGATTCTAAATTTCAGTAGTACAATATTGAACTTTAAACTTGTATCTTTGTAATAAGTAAAATTTCACTTCATGGCAATATGCTGAAGGGAAATGTTATACAGCACTGAAGATTTTCTGTTTCATAGTTTCTTACTATGTTCAAAGAAATATTTTCATGAATCAGGTATTATTCTCTAAACTGTGACTTGAAATCGTACAAGATATAACTTAGGTATTTTTCTCTGTAAAATTTGTCAGATATATACTTGGTGTATGAGTTATTGCACAATTTACAGCCAAGTACTGACCTTAGCTGTCAGTTGTGTAACAAGGTTCACAAAACATTAATTTTGTCCATGTAAAATGATACAATCAACCATGTGAAGGAGAATGGAGACATGAGATGGTGTTGGACCAGAGTGTAATGTAGATGCCATTGTCAGATTGATCATTATAGTGTTCTGGTAATTTATGTTGTTTAGAAACCTCAACACACGCACACACTCTCTCTTTTTATTATGATTGATATTAATAAATACAGTATATTCACAAACAAGTAGCTTTTTTTTTTCTTTTTTTTTTTTTTACAAACAGCATTGTGAAAAATGCATTTGGAGTACCTGTGCTATCTTCCCTTAAATATTTTCAACTTATAAAAAATACAACTGTTGCATAATAAAACCCTCTTTAAAATGCAAACTTGATACAGGATATCATCACATTTGGGGTAAGTGACATACACATTAGCTAGGTTTCTCACGTGGAGTTCTTTTGTATCATAGATGTCAGGTAATTGGAAATTGACGTGGGAGAGGAAGTGACAAAGATGTGAGCATTGGGATTAATTTATTTTTTAAGGCTTTATCAGTTGTGTTAAAACTGAGACCAAGGATGTTCTTGGTGGTATGGCAGGATATGGAGACAGACCAAGGATGTTCTCGGTGGTATGGCAGGATATGAAAACAGACCAAGGATGTTCTCGGTGGTGTGACAGGATATGAAAACAGACCAAGGATGTTCTCGGTGGTGTGACAGGATATGAAAACAGACCAAGGATGTTCTTGGTGGTGTGGCAGGATATGAAAACAGACCAAGGATGTTCTCGGTGGTGTGACAGGATATGAAAACAGACCAAGGATGTTCTCGGTGGTGTGACTTGTTTTGATAATGTTAATCTCACATACCTTGTCATCTCATTTACCACTTTATTTATTTATTACTACTGTGACTCACTAGGGGAGCATCATAAATATTAATATTCCCTTGATATCAGTTCTCTTATGTGACAGATCTGATTGTTTATATCATTACCATAAGTTTTTAAGAATTGGAATTTTGGGGAATTTCTCTTAGGAGGCTGGCAGTTAGTTTTTGCAAACTTCCATAATTACTTGACAAAAGCAGGTGCAGCTTTTATTTTCCAGTATTTAGTAAGTAAATCACTGGTGTATCAGGCTATGTATGGTGACTAGGGAAGTGTTGAACCTTGTTTGTCAGATACCAGATAGTAAATATTTTTGTACAGTTCCTCTTCCTCAACCCCCTTGTACAGCCAAGTTAATATTATCCATATTGTTGTGAGCTTCCAAGTAAAAGAGAACATACCAACCAATTCTCTTTTATTCTCTCCTCCTTTTCATCAGATGACTATTATTGCTTCTTATCAGCTTACTAACTACTGTACAGTACTTGAACCAGATATGGGAAAAAAAATTACATTCTGTGTTAAAGAGTATAAAAATGACTAAATTGATTTGTGTGAATTTAGGAATCCATTTACTGTGGTTAGGGGATGCCTCAATGAATAGGTTTTATCGTGTACCAGGTATGTAAGATCTCCCTGCATCATTTATTTAAACCCAGTAGTTAAAAGTAGAAGATTCCAATAATGACTCATAACTGATACACATTATCAACCTAGGAATTAGGAAATATGGTGTGAACTGGTATTTTGAAGAGTGAATTTAGAAATTTGTGATTAGCAACAACCGAGATATGCAAATGTTCAATCACACTGCATGAGCTTGCCTTTGATGATTAATTGAATAACCTTGTTTGTTTATTATATTCTATCGTACTGGGTTAGTTCATTAATTATTGAGGATTACTAATTAAACATATGTGAGTACTGTGGGGTAACATCCTCATTTAAGTACAGTAATATAGAATACATTAAACAAATTGCTTTTATTACACAAGATGCCCTTCACTCATTGATTGAGGTGCCATCCTCTGGTGTAAGGGTTGGTGACCAAGAACCACAATTCATTGTTTTGTGCAGTCATTACCAATCCTCTCAGGTTTTGTATCTCTCAGGACCCAGATTTTTATTTCAGCCATCCATCCCATTCCTTGATTTCCCCATTCCCACCTACTTTCAATTTTACCTATTAATATTTTGACTTACATTGCACCCTCATCTCTAATTTCATGGCCAAAATATCTCAATTTCCTTATTCTGTAAATTTTCAGAAATTTTCTCATTGCTCAAGTCAATCTTTGTACTGTACTACTTCATTAATGTTCTATCAGTATAACTTATTTTCAACATTCTTTTTGTAGCACCATACGGTATTTCAAAAGTCTGTTGTCTTGTTAACCACTTGTATACGGGCCCCCCTCTGAGCTGAATAAAATCGCTTAATGTTGGTTAAATAAAATATCAAAAGTGTTGTCCATTCATCATACAATAGTACTGTACTGTACAAATCATACCTACCATTTTAGCTGCTTCATTCTTAAACCTAACTTAATATCCCTTTTTAACAGCTGTGAAGATTATTTACTGCTTATTTTGGCTGACCAATCTTTGACTATCTTCTCTCACATCTATTGTGTATACAGTAAAGAACAGTACAGTACTATACACAAAACTTTTCATCTTTTTATGTTTCCTGTTGCTTACCATACTTTTACAATTTCTCTAATTAGAAGGTAATAGCTTGCAGCCATGTTTTATTACCTATTTAATCTTCAAGCAACTAATAAGTTATGGTAAGTACTTTATTGTCACCCAGTTTCCTGATGCTGGTAAACATTTTCAAAATTCTAATACTGCATCACCATCACTGATACCTATTGCTTCCAAGGTTTCATTACTCATATAATGAAAATACAAGACCCTGATTAATTGTGTGAATAAGAAACAAAGACTCCATTGCTCTTTGGAAAAACATTCATTTCACAAGCAAGGAGTCATAGGTTTAATTCTTAAGTGTAGTGGAAGAATTGGTTCTCTGTTCATTAGCCTTTACATTCGCTGCAGTAAATAAATTATTTATTGAGTAAACCTATTGGTTGTGGGTGAATCGTTTAGTAGGGTGACCCACTCGCATGTGAATGTTAAGAATCTGGATTAACACCTATTTGATCACCCTATGGGGTTAATGTGATGTTAGATCGCACTAGGATGGAGGTAAGAAGGGAAACTCGGCTATGGCGTTTTCTGTACAGGGTATATATATATATATATATATATATATATATATATATATATATATATATATATATATTATATACAATGCAGTGCTAGGGAGTTGCTGTGAGGTGAGGAGCTTGTTGAGAAGAGGTCTTGTCTGTTTGAGAGTGCTCAGTAGAATGCCTTCCACGGCGAGGCTGTGAGCTTATGTATACACGTCCACCGGAAGTAGGCGTCGCTGGTGGCCAACCCCCCGCGAGTCTAGACGGCTAGGCTTGTCAGAGAAACTTCTTCGCGGGATCGGCTGATCAGCGACTAACGGCAGTGGCAGTTGTAGGGAAGAGTATCCACTACAACCCTGTTCCATAACAAAAGTAAAATGTACTTAGCACAGTAATTCATTAGAACTAATTGTGATGATATTTAGAATGTTATTTATGTATTCTGTAATTACAAATGCTCTGTTGGGCAGGTCAAAGAAAGGAAAAAGTACATGTACCGAGTATGTTGAGAAATTGACAAGAACTTGCAGGTAAAACACAAGAAAAAATATGGACAAGCCATTATAAGGTATTCTCTGGATAAATTTGAGGATATTTGATTAAAAAACAATAATGGTTTATTTGCATGAAATAGGAAATTTAAATTAAAAATGTATAACAACTAAGGAAATCCAGCTCAATATTGAACATTATAAAACTGGAGTTTGCCCAAATTCAAATTAGTTGTTTCATGAACATATACAATACTCTATTGTAATATAAAGAATTTTGTGTCAAGTTTGTACTATAGATGGGGAGTTCAAGGAGGAAGACGTTTTATTACTGATATCCCTTGGGACTTTAGAGAGCAGTAAATGTTAAAATTACCAGTGAGTTTGTCCAAATGTAACTAAGGCTTGGTAAGCTATGGTACCTATACTTATCCTCTTCAGCCCTGGTCAGCTTATTAGACAGTCAGGTGGTCTGTCTGTTCTCAGTTATGCACTGGTATTTGGTGCCTTTCATTCGAATTTAACCTTTATTTCATTTGGAAATGAGTCATTTTTGAGTTATCCCACCCCCCCCTCTCCCTTCAGTAATCTTGGGGGACCCATGGGAATTCGGGGGTTTTGGGTGGGGAAAAAGAGCAAAAACGAAAGCTACTCTAACTATTTTAGGTGAATTTACCATCTTGGTTATTACCCATTTATGACGGAAGTGGTATTAGAAAAAGTTGTTGCAATTGAAGAGATATAACTTCTGGTGAATCCAAAATTGCTCAAACCCAATTGATAGTGAAACTGCATATAATACCCTATGATTACTGGGTATGTATGGGCTCTTGATTGTACTGGAACGTGCCAATGTTGGTCATGTCTTAAATGCTGTAACAAAATTCATGAGCTGGTTATTCCAAGAGATTAGCTGCACTTTTCTGCACTTGTGGTTTCTTTAGTCCGAGGCTGTAACCTCTAGTAGGATGGGCATCTACTAACTCCAGATATGAACACTTGACTGAGTACTGTAGTGTCCTTTTGAGGTACTGTACACTGTAACGGTACTTATAAACTTATATTAAATCAACCTTCACCATTATAAAGTATAAACAGCCTTGTAGAACACCACTTTTAATGCATACACAAACACTCAACATCAGTATGGAATGTAGGTATTTTAGTTTAGACAATTCTAAGACACTTTTCTTCTATAATGTTTCCGTCGCAGACGACTTACACATGACGGGGAGGGAGCCCTCTAGTTAGGAGGTTATTAGGTCATTTGCGAGGGAAACGTCAAAGAAGAAAAGTTTCTAAGAATTGTCTAGATTATTGATTGCAAATATAAAATTTCAAAGATTCCGGTTTTGTCCAAAAGCAAATCTTTACCCAAATTAATTTTTTTTTACCAATTTGACAGGGAAAGGAGTCTGACTTGATTAATCCTCCCAATTGTTCCAGATGAGTTTGTCCTTCATAATATAGTGTAGAAAAAGGAATAGTTGTATGAAGATAATACTTCTCGCCACTCGCTCGTCTAATGTGTTTTGCTACAGTTTCCTGTGGAAGACATTATCTGATATTTCCCAAATAATAATTTTTGAGGCTAATAGGACACGTAATATGAGATATCCTAGTATTAATTTTTGCTTTTAGAATGTTCCTGCTTACAGTACTTAATATTAAAGAATTACATCGATCTTTCAACAGTAAATAGTTTTGGGTATAGTATTATAATACTCGGTTATCCTCATCTCTGAGCTTCCCATTTTCTGATAAACAATTTCGTTCTTATCCATGTCCTTATCAAAGGTTTTCGCTTACATATTGTTATCATTCTATGCAAAACAAAATCAATATACAAATAAAGGTGGATATTACATGAGTACAATGAAATAAAGAGAAAGGATGAATTACTAAGAAGATCATTTGGGGTGGTGGTCCAGCGCCTTAAGTCCCTACAACGCTTTCGTAAATATTGACAACACATACAACATGGCTGCAGCCCTCACACTAGAAGCTCTTATACGTATGTCAAATTTCTCTCTTGTCGTATTTGCAGCCCCTTTTTAATATGATTTCCTTGAAGATAAATAGTTTTCCAATTCGGAACTTAAGAGGTTTTCATTCAAACATTTTTCAGTCGCTGGAATATGTGTTATTGGGTTAGGTATTGGTCACCCACATCCACCTAAGATTTAAACACCTGTCGTGGGGCGAGAGGTGTGCACCCACCTCATATTTGTTAACTTATTACTCTCAACCATCATAGTTTTGCAGAAGGTATTTTGTCGAAGTGAATAACTGCCGTAATCCTAAATTACCACATAATGTGACGTGTATTATCACAATTTTATGTACACAGACCGGTATACTGTAGTTTAGTTAGAAAATATTATATTTTTAATTAACTTGTTTGGCGACAAGAGGCACTTGCTGCTGTATTACTTTGTGAGTCGTGCACATCTAAACTATCCCATTGCTGCCAACCCTTGTGATTTGTTAATGTTAACAGAAATGAATGATTATTTGGCTTTTGTCATTATGAACTTGTGTACCTCATTGAAACACTGTCGATTCTCAGTATAGCTCTGCCACTTTACCTTTGGTGCATTTTGGTAGGATCTTCACTGAGATGATTCTGTAATATTTAAAATAATAATCTGGCTGGAAGAACAATTAAGGAAGGAGTGATTTATCCTTCTTTTCATGTGTCATCATACTAGTTACTGTTTGCGGATGGTTGGTCTGCTCTGTTATGCACTGTTGAAAAGAACTGTGGCCTCCTGAGGTTACCTGAACATGTGTCATAGTTGGTCATGTGTTGGCTGAGCTGCCCGCCTTGGGTATTCTAAGCACAGTTTGTTATATTTATTAATAAATATTTACTTTGACTCCTGCAGATATACTGTTACTGATTGGCAGTGGATATTTTGCCGTGACTGGCTATGTTCCTACTAACTCTATTTTACCATGAGTGAACTCTGATTGGCCAATCGTCCATTACCAGCGAACAACGTGAGAACGATGTATGACTGTGAACATGAGTATCACTGTATTAGTGTCTGACCATAGGGTTGTGACAAGGCTGTTGTCCCTGGGTGTAATAAAAATTTTTTTTTTTAATTATAATGTGACCATGACTGGTGGCATTTGACATTTATTTTGCCGTGAGTCAATTGTTGTGTAGTTATAAACATACCTAACCAGAAAGAATTGTTCAATTTTGTTAATTTTTTCCACATGTTCTTATCATAAAAGAGATGATGTTTACTAGAACCTAATAGAACCTGACCTAACCAACCAAAGAAACCTACCTAACCTTACCTAACTTCCTAGCCAGGGGGCAGAGCCCCCATCATATTAAACAGAAAATACTTAGCCAATCAGAGCGCACTCATGTAAAATAGCCTTAGTAGAGTAGGAATTTAGCCGGTCACGGCAAAATATTCACTATGTTACTGATTAGTAACCAAGCATAAACCAAAGAATTGATCCGACTGGAAATAAGTGTCTGACAGTTTTGTTGGCTGTCCGTGGTCGAATTGTCTTAATGTTTATTATTGTTAAATACCTGCACTGTCTGGGTACATTGGAAGCTATACCTACATGTTCTCTGTACACTCGCACCAAAAATTATCGGTGTAGGGTGAGGTCGACGACTTCCGAAACGATACGTATACACTGTGATGTGTCGGGAAGGTTGGTAAGTGCATCCTCATAAACCCCCCCTCCCCCTCCACTAGGTGTTGCCATATGGCTGACAATCAGTGTGTTTGTTTCCTCTTTTCGGATTGTTGCTTTGTGTCGACTGAATGATGAGCGAGGGTTCGGTCTCGGTGAACGTGGGTATAAAACAGAGGCAATGTGAAGCAGTAGAGATCTACACATGCCAGACGACACGGAAACCTCAGAGGGAACACGAGGAGCTATTATTGCCCTTCATAACGAAGGGTTCGGCGTCACAGATATTAGCTGGTGGGTTGGTATCCACAGGAACACCGCTGCACGATGGATTTGGTGATATCTCGAAACTGGTGCTACAGACGACAGGTCTCGGAGCGGCCGTCCACACTGCACCACCCCTCAGGACGACCAGATTGAGTGGTTTATTTGGTAGCATAAATTAATGTGGCAATATTCACAAGCATCACAAACAATTTTGTTAACAGGGAGCTCCTCATACTTCATACTGTCTATTTATCACTTCCCGACCTTATTTATAACGGTTTGTTTCACTTGACCAGGCCATAGTAGCTGCTCAGCAGGATTACAGGGCTGCCAACATATGGCTGGAACAACTCGCCTTTCCCGATACCTATCGTCACTGGTCTCAAATTGTTCACACTACAGTATGCACCGATACTTTTTGTTGCGAGTGTACACCATATACCTGCATTGAACTATGTAGTAGGTATTAGGCTGCTACCACAAGAGGGAGGTACTACCGCTTGGGAAGATATTGGAAGCATAATGTGTTGTCTATGGTAGATCCTGCTGCCACATGGCATCACCAAAATTGTGACCGAGTCTCGGGTTGCTGATCTGACTTTCTGCCTCATTTACACACAGTTGCAGGGTCTCAATTGTTTCACTTACTATTGACAACACAACATACATACAGTCAGCCCTTAACATATGCGGGGGTTACGTAACAGAGATACCCGTGGATGTTAAAAATCCACGTATATGTGCTGCCCCCCCCCCCCAAAAAACCTGGTTCCCCCTATGTCCTTATTTACCGTATATACCTGTGTGTAGTTCAAGTTTTTAAGACCAAATTATTTGGCCAAAAATTGGGGGTCGACTTCTAAACGGGTAATAGTTTCGTTAGGTTGAAAAATATTTACCAGTAACTACCAGTAAACAATGGAATCGATGCACCAACGCACCACCAGCTGTGAGTGTCGGTACAGTTGCCAGGGCAGACGTCTTGCGTCATCATAGCAAGCCCAAAGTAGCCAAATCCATGGTATGGTAGCACAGGACGATGTAAAACAAAGTATTCATTTATTAAAGTTTATTTATAGATACTGTACATAAATGTTTGTTCATTACATTGGAAACATCAATCTTTGTTAATTAAATTTGAAACAAAAGAAAACTACGATACCGTATTTTCATTAAAATATTACATCACATGTATATTTTACCTTAACTGTGACTGAATGAATATAGGTATTCTCAGAAATAAATATGGAAATATAATATTTTTGCTGGAATGACGTACATATTACAGTGGAAAGACGAAAACAATGACTTTCGCTTTCTTTCGTTATTCAAAAGATTTTACCGTAATCGCTTTTCGAATGGTTTTCAGTTAAAAAACTGTTGTACTCGTACTGTATTACAATAATATTCTATCCTATCATTAGCCTTATAATCCCACAACTGAAACCATTCGAAAAGCGATTACGGTAACATCTTTTGAACGAAAGAAAGAGAAAGTCATTGCTTTCGTCACAATTTTATCCCACTTTCCACTGTAATACGTACATCATTTCAGCAAAAATATTACATTTCCATGTCCTCAGAAATAAATGGTAGTTTTGTTGAAACGTAATGTACAATATTTAATATTAAAATGCAAAAATAGCTATAAAAACAATTAATACACCCGTAATGTACTGGCTGGCATCTCCACTCGTCCCTGCTCCCGCGTCCAAGGTCACCACTCCTCCCAACTCGCTCCCTCCGCTCCCTCCTCTACCTCCTCCACCTCCTCCACCTCCTCTACCTCCTCCACCTCCTCTTCCTCCCCCACCTCCTCACCGTCACTACTGCCGACAACGAACACAAATGTTTTGTGAATAACTGCACCTCCACTTCCTATGTACAGTACTGAACTGTACTGTGCTGTGCATTTTTACAAACAATAAACATGGCAAGAAAAGCTATTAAAAAAAGAGATAAAAATTTCACTTTACTGTACAGTACCTATCCTCGGCGACAGGACGGGGTCATCGGGCTCATCGTCACTCGATCCATAACGGGTGGTGAAGTGGGGGCGACGGTGGATTCAGCTGCTTCCTCACTGCCGCCAGTGATTGATGGTGTTAAATCTCTCCTTCGGTGATCAAAGAACATGGTGATGGGGAGTTGTCGTCTCTTTCTTTCATTTCTTCCATGATGTTTTTGTATGGAGCGAAAACGTCATCCATCCCTCGCATGAATTTCAGGGCACGCACCATGGAGGGGTCCATACTATAGGCCAGGTTTTTCAGTGCCTCAATATTCCTGGTCATCTCCCCCAACTTCTCCAACATTATTTCTTGGTGCTCTTCCTCATCCTCTTTCCCTTTCGCTCAGTGTCGTGCTCTTCAATTAGCTCCCTAATCTCGTCCTCTGCCATGTCCTGGAAGCCTTCAGCAGCCACTTTCCTTGACAGTGCCAGGGTCTTTCTGAATATTTTCATTAAAATCCATCAAAATCATTTTCCTTGTCATCGTCTTAAGCACCAAACAGCTCCTCCCAGTCTTCTCCTTGAACAGGGCTAGAGGGTACGTGTTTTTCGAATCGTTTTCAATTAAAAAAATGTTACAGCACATGTATATTTTACCTAAACTGTGCCTGAATGAATATATTCTCAGAAATAAATAGTAGTTTTGCTGAAACGTGATGTATTTCAATGTAAAATAGGATAAAATACATGACGAAAACAAAAGACTTTACCTAACCTTCCAATGTTCAAGAGATGTTACTCGTTTTTTTAATAGTTTTCGGTTAAAATACTGTTATATTACAATGATATTATATTCATACTGTGCTTGATATACTACATTCATGGAAATGTAATATTTTTGCTGAAATGACGTACGTATTAGTGGAAAGTGGGATAAAATCGTGACGAAAACAATGACTTTCGCTTTCTTTCGTTCAAAAGATGTTATCGTAATTGCTTTTCGAATGGTTTTCAGTTAAAAGAACTGTTGCATCACAATGAATTAGGATAGAATATTATTGTAATACAACAGTTTTTTAACTGAAAACCATTCGAAAAGCGATTACGGTAACATCTTTTGAACGAAAAAAAGCGAGTCATTGCTTTTGTCACTTTCCACTGTAATATGTACGTCATTTCAGCAAAATATTACATTTCCATATTCTCAGAAATAAATAGTAGTTTTGCTAAAACGTAATGCATTTCAATGTAAATTAGGATAAACTACATGAAAACGAAAGACTTTATCTAACCTTCTGATGTTCAAGATATGTTACTCCTTTTTTTTTAGTAGTTTTAGGTTAAAATACTCTTATATTAGTGATATTGTATTCATACTGTGTTTGATATAATACATTCACGGAAATGTAATATTTTTGCAACTACAATGCTGATGTCAACACAAGCGTGGTTACAGCGAGACTGACTGAGTGAGGGAGAGCTATGCGTGTGTGTGTGTGAGGTTGCGGGAGCGGGCGGTGTCCCGTGTTCGGTGCCGCACGCGAGTTGAATGGCGCGCGATTTGAATGTACTTCAATTACTTCAATGTACAGAATATTCCTCCGGCGGGGCAATCCGCGTATTTGCAAATCCGTGTATTATTAACCCGCGTATGTTAAGGACCGACTGTATATTGTCTCTCACTTTTGATCTTTTTTCAGTTTTGTATTTCTTTGTGGTTCTTTATTATTATTATTATTATTATTATTATTATTATTATTATTATTATTATTATTATTATTATTATTATTATTATTATTATTATTATTATCATTATTATTATTATTATTATTATTATTATTATTATTATTATTATTATTATTATTATTATTATTACTACTACTACATTTCGCCCCCCAGGCGATGTGGGTCAGTGACCTGTGCCGGGTGGGCTAATCTCCGTAAAAAAAAAAAAAAAAAAACAGCCTGAAAAAGTATATATATATTGTACCTGCACTGAATATAAACATGCCAAATCAATTATAAAATTCAATGATGATTTTACTGAATGAATATTATTGTTGTTAAATGAGCTCACACTTGGTACAGTCACAATACTTTGATCCCATTTCATATGCTCTTTGCTGTTTTCTCCTTTATAATCAATTAATATCAGCAGAGTAACCATAATATGAACACAGTAGTTGCCATTCTGAGTAAATATAATGGAATTAGATGAAATCTGGAACATATACAACATACAGTACTGTACTGGCAAACAAAGTGGAGATAAATTAGATTAAGGTTTTATGCTTGAATTGGGGAAGTGATCCTGGAATCCTATTATGTAACAGAGCCTATAGTCAGGTGGCTTGAATACTACCCCTTCTCCCTTTGGTTCATGGATTAGTCAGTGGGAACTGAAGTGCAGTATGGTAGATTATCCTTGAAATCAAGTTTGTCTATTGTAGCTTTGGCAGAGAGCTTGCTGATGAGACTGACAGGTTTAAAGAAGACTAACTTGTACAGTGTATGGTATCTTGAGTCGTGCACCTAATCTCCTCATACACTGAACCCTTCTCTTTTTGAATCTTGTTTCATGTGCACCAGTGATTTTTTTTTAACCCTTAAAAAACTGAGAAGTACTGTATACAAAATAATCAGAAGATTTTTTCATAGGAAAGCTTTCCCTTTATATTATATTATTACATGTAATTATATTATATTATATCATAAAGAAATTCATGTGATTTATTGGAAGATTTTTGGACTAATTCGATATTTCGTTAAAAAAAAAAATCTCCATAATTCTACCTCAACAAAAACTGTAGAATTTTCCTGAAATATTAAATTAGTAAAGGTTGAGTATACAGTATTGTGTGTTATGAAAGTTGCCAGGATACAGACTTTGTTAGTCTATAGGATTTATATATCTGTACTCCATTCTGTTTTTTTGTTTGTTTTTGAAAACCAGTTTTTAGATGTTTTTGATATTCTAGACTGTCACTATTGTTGGTTTGCCCCCAGAGAAGTCCACAAGTCCTCTGAATATAGAGGATGACCCAAATTCCATCCAGGCAGTGTGTCAGGCTGTCACTTCTGAGTCAGGTGGGGTCCAAACAGCAGTCAGACTCTTGGCTCACAAGATACAGTCTCCCCAGGAACGAGAGGCTCTGCAGGCACTTTCCGTGAGTTTGAATTTTTTAAGTTTTATTAATTACAGTAGTACAGTGTCTGGTTATTTCAATATTGAATTTCATTGTCCATCCAATGAGGTAATTGATGAGAATTTTTTTTGCAAGTTTTTGCTTTGATTGTCTAGGTTTTCTGTCCAAATATGAAATTCTGTCAAAAAGATTTACAGACTAGATGGAACCTACATCAAAATGTGATGAGTCTGGTGGTGTGCAATAGTACTGTAGTACAGTACAGTGTACCTTAAACTTTTGAAATTAGTTAAAATCAAATCCAAATGTGATGCTGTACTGTACTGTACTGTACATGTTTAATCAAGAGTGAATATCATCATACTATGTAGACTAGAGTTTCATGTACTGTATAACTTACCACTTGTGAGAAAAGAGAGAAAGATTTTGATAAGGGAATGACCAAGTAAATGGATGAGCACTGCAGTTAGAGGTTGATATACTGTACCCAGTATTTTTTTTTTTTTTACGGGGATTAGCCCACCCGGGCACAGGTCACTGACCCACATCAGAGCCTGGGGGGCGAAAATTTAATAATTATTCATAGTAAATAAAATTTATAGTTAAAATAAAATAATAATGATAACAATAATAATAACACTGTAATAATAATAATAATAATAAAGAACTACAAAGAAATACAAAAATGAAAAAAAAAACAATGGTGGGAAACGCTATATGTATGTTGTGTTGTCAAGTAAGAGAAACAATTGAGACCCTGCATTTGTGTGTAAATGAGGCAGAAAGTCAGATGAGCAACCTGGGACTTGGACACAATTTTTGTGATGTCATATGGCATTGAATATGTTATTTTATTACTGTTGACTTATACTAACAGTAGATCTAGCTGATTGAATATATGTGTAGTTTGTAACAGAAAAATCGTATGCCCCCTGTATAAGATTTTGGTTTTATGGAACTTTTTTTTTAATGTTTTTGATACTGGATGAGATGTGTACACGTATTGCATCTGGTGTTAGACTTAGCATATATAATTAGCTTACTAATTAATATTTTAAAGAACATTGTATGTGTGAAATTAGTACAGGACCCTTTCTGATTGTACCGTTTCTTATAAATACACTACAGGTTCTACAAGCTTGTGTAAATAACTGTGGTACCACCTTCCATACTGAGATTGGTAAATTTCGCTTTTTGAACGAAATGATCAAGTTAGTGTCACCAAAGTACCTTGGGAACCACACCCACACCTTGGTTAAAACAAAGGTTGTGGAGCTCCTCTACACATGGACCATTGATCTGAAGGCAGAACCCAAGATCTTAGAAGCTTACAACATGCTTAAAAAACAAGGTGTGGTTAAGGTTAGTGCTCATATAACTTTCTGAGACACTTTTTCTCTTTTTCAAAATACTGTGCAGTGGATCTTGCCCAATCTGCAGATTTTCAGTACCTAAGTCACTTATCCAAACTATTGAATTGTAGAACAAACTGTGGATGCAGCACCCAGGTCCAGGCCCACTATGATGTATGGTGTATTGGAAAAATACCTTAAAATTTAAAAATACTTAGGAGAGATTATAAGATTTGTATGTTTAAATGTTTATCAGCTTCAAGTGAACATTATATTTGCTTGAAATAGTCTTCATAATGTTCTTAAAATGTAAATAAACCATGAAGGTTCAGCATATACTATACTGTAAGCATTGTATGTAACTGTCAATAGTAAAGCATTTGGTAACCCTTGTATACATTGTTTGGATGATCACATTTTAATGTTATTGCTTTACACACTTCTAGGTGCTACTATAGCATGCAGTCTATAAGATACATGTATTTAACTTAGGTAAGGTGAGGTGATGTGTGGTAAGGTTAGGTTAGGTTAGACTAGACTAGACTAGACTAAAGATATCATTGTAGACTGCATGCTATAATAGTACCCACTCATAGATACAGCACATGAATCTTCTTTCAGATACTGTACAGTGTCCTTTTTGTACTTAATAGACTTGATTAGTAATGAAAATAAGCCAAAAAAATAAACTACAGGTTGACAACCCTTTATCCGAAAAGCTCTGAAAACCGAAAGTTTTTTGTGCATTTTTTTTTTTTTTTTTAGCCCACCCGGGCACAGGTCACTGACCCACATCGGGGCCTGGGGGGTTAAAATGTAATAAAAATAATAATTATAATAATAGTGATTATACAGTAATAATAATTATTCATAGTTAATAAAATTTTTAATAAAAAATACACAAAAATAAAATAAGAATGATAACAATAATAATAATAACAATAATACTGTAATAATAAAATAATAATAATAAAGAAATACAAGAATGGAAAAGGATCAAAAGTGAGAAACACGACCTAGACCTATGAATTATTATTAATATTATTATTATTATTATTACAGGTGGCCTATCAAAAATCTGGCAACCGACAAACCGGAATCTTCAGTTTTCCGGCATGGATTTCGGAGCGCATTTTCAAATATTTCTTTGTTCATTTAATGAAGATATATGTTTTAGCTCATAAAATTCATACAAATTACCTGGCCAGAATATAATTTACATTGCTGGAATTCTTACAATTTGATGATCATTTTGAATATAAACATCATAGATTTTGCATTAGACATACAAATTTTAGATATAATGTTTACTCTGAGTAAATATGTTATCTTTTGTGCAAAATATATGACATTTATATTCAAAATATTCCTGGTCTTACAAGGAATCCAGCAATGTCAATTATATTATCCTAACTTTAGTTTGAGGTATTATTTATTACTAAAAGTTAAAATTAGTTTTTTCACCCAACATTTCTCTGGTAGGGATGGAAGGTGGGGGGTGGGGGGAGGGTTGGGACCGACCGACCATCTGGCACGGTTGGAAGAGGGGGGGAGGCAAGTTGGGGTACTTTGATTGACAGATAGTGTCGTGAAGAATATTTTTTTTTTATTAACTGAAGATATTTGTTTTAGCTCATAAAATTCATACAAATTACCCGGCCAGAATATAATTTACATTGCTGGAATTCTTACAGCTTGATGATCATTTTGAATATAAACATCATAGACTTTGCATTAGACATACAAATTTTAGAGCTAATGTTTACTCTGAGTAAATATGTTATCTTTTGTGTAAAATATATGACATTTATATTCAAAATATTCCTGGTCTTACAAGGAATCCAGCAATGTCAATTATATTATCTTAACTTAAGTGTTTAATTTTCTTTGTTTAAAGGACTGTACAGGTAGTCATTTTCTGTTAAACTTATACAGCAAATATAACCATCAGTTTTCCAGCATTTTCGAAAATCCGGCACTCCTCAGGTCCCGAGGTTGCCGGATTTTTGATAGGCCACCTGTATTATTATTATTATTATTATTATTATTATTATTATTATTATTATTATTATTATTATTATTATTATTTTTATTTTTATTTTAATAATAATAATAATAATAATAATAATAATAATAATAATAATAATAATAAAAATAATTATATTTTAGTCCCCAGGCCCCAATGTGGGTCAGTGACCTGTGCCCGGGTGGGCTGATCCCAGTAAAAAAAAAAAAAAAAACTAACCATTCTGAAAACCGAAAAATTCCAAAAACCGAAATGCATCTGGTCCCAAGGATTTCGGATAAGGGATTGTCAACCTGTACTGTAAAAAAGGAGAAAGCAATACCGGTAATACTAGAAAGGTAATTATGAAAGATTGGTATGTTGGCAGAGAGTGAGAGGTAAACCTCTTCAGCTTTCAGAGATTTATCATACGTATAAGACTTAGATGGCTTGGACATGTGGAGAGAATGGGCTAAACCATTTGGGGTCAAGACGTGTGTGGAGAGGAGTACAGCCAGGGACAGTTGAGGAATGATATGGGAAGAGGTTTTAAGAAATGACATTAGAGTTAAGAACCTGACAAGAAAGACTGCAAGACATGGAAAAATGGCTCTGTAAAATTCTGGTGATGAGCCTTGCCATTATTTCTGTACAGTATCTACAGTACTGTATATTTATGACATTGTATCTTGGAGCCTTATTGAAGGTGATCAAAATGTGAGAGCAGCACTTGGGTTTCATACTAATATCATGAAGCGTTATTGGTTCTTGAGACAACCATCTTATCCAGAAAGATTCAAATTCATTATGTTATCCAGGTTTAGCAAGTGGCAATTGTTGTTCATGGCAGATTATGATATTTGACATTTTCTATCTTGAAAACATATCATTAAACATGTCAAGACCCTCTGGCAGAAGCCAGCTATACCAATGATTGATTTAGCAGCATGGATCTTCTTGGTCAATTGTTCCTCCTCATGGTCATAGACTGGGATTTTGTGTTTTGTCTCTTCAGATTATTAGATGGTTGTAAAAATGAATAATAATGTTATCTATATGTTTTACAGGATGACCCTCAGTATATTGGAGCCCCATGCGTGCCAGAGCCCAGATCTCGAGCAAATGCAGTTTTTGAGGATGAAGAAAAATCACGTCTTCTACAAAGGCTTCTCCAGAGTAAGAACCCGGAAGACCTTCACAAAGCTAATGCTCTTATTAAGTCCATGGTGAAGGAGGATGAGAGAAGAATGGAGCGAACTAGTAGACGGATAGTAGAGGTATAGTCTTATCCCCTTGTCAGAATGAGTAACATACAGTAGCTGGATTGAAATTATGTATAACAACGTACCGGGTACACGAAGTGATATCCCCATTAGCTGGAACACTTAGTGCAGAGCACTTCCAGAAATGAGAGAATTCTGGGTAACGAGATGATTCTCTTAAACCTGGAAAAAATTCCCCATCGCTGGAATTTTCAGCCTTGGAATTTCCTCTTAGACCAGGAAAAAAGAATTTGGAGAGATTTTCGGAATTTCATCTGAATTTTCCAGAATTATGCATTATTTCATCCTCCGAATTTGTTCCCAGACCCAGAATTTTTTGGGGGAAAGAGTTTCTGGAATTTTATTGCAATTTTCAGAAAATGCGCCTGACTTTCATTCTCGGAATTTGTCCCTGGACTTGGAAAAATTGGAGAGCTTCCGGCAATTTTCTCATAATTATATATACAGCATGCCCTTCAAATTCGGGGAGGTTAGGTTCTCAAAATGGCCGCGAATCGCCAAATCCGCGAATAACATTTGCTGACCAGGGAGGGAGGGGGGTTTACATTTTTACTCGTGTGCAAAGAAATGTATATTCCCTTTGTGTGTTTGCCCTTAGGACAATTATTTCTTTTATCTCTACTGTATACACTGTATGTGTGTGTGTGTGTGTAGACACACACACAAAACACATGCAAATAAATAATAATTGGAAAATCCTCTCACAAATAATCAGAAACAAATTTATAAAAAATGTGACAGTCTACCCTCAAGTCTACTCTGTGGTTTGTTATTAATAAAGCACGGAGAAGAAAAAATAATTGACTAATCAAGTGATTGCATTTTGTTTTTTCTTAAAGAGACGATCATAGATTGGCTTTGTAGATCAAATTTATGTTCAATATGTTTATTCTCAACAGGTTGAGACTGCCATGAATAATGTAAGAGTGCTAGATGAAATGCTGTCTCGTCACCAAGAGAGCCCAGCAACCCAAGCTGACTTAGATTTGATGTTGGAGCTTCACTCTTCTTGTTCTTCTCTGAGGTCCAATCTTTATCGACTTGTCTCAGAAATGGACGATAAAGAAGAGGGAATTGGTTAGTATGTATTACATTAATAATAAATGGGTGCTAGTCATTACAGTACAGTACAGTGGTCCCCCGACTAACGAACGGTTCAATTAGCGAAATTTCGGTTAACGAATTAGCTCTCATAAGGATTTTCAGTTCCATTAACGAACAAAACTTCGATTAACGACAGCCTTATGAGAAACACGCTTTGTTATGCGCATCAGCTGATCGAATCACCCACCAACGCTTCTTAGTTTAACTTTGTTTACAGTGGAGTAAACATTGAGTTTGTTGGTCTCTTGAATATTTTTGCATTTTTACATTAAATTTATTGGTCATTCTGAAATTTAGTTAATATATTGATAATATACAGTGCAGAAATTCTAATGAAACATGAAGAAGGCATTAGAACCAATGCACTCTGTAAAGAATATGGCATGTCATCATCGACTGCCTCTACAATCAGCTGTTTGATATGTAAACAAAGCTGCCAGAAATACGACATACACACTTCAAAGTAAGTTAAAATACAGTATTCTAATGTTTTTTATCTATTATTGTACAGTATACTGTACAGTACAGTACTGTATTTAGTTTATAATTAATGTTTTGTTAATTCTATTACCGGTATACAGTGCTTTGTATGTATACTTTTTCTGTGAGTTGGAACCAATTACCCAATATCCCATTGAAATAATAGATTCAGTTAACAAAATTTTCGGTTAACAACCGACTCTGTGGAACCAACTGTGTTCGTTAATCGAGGGACCACTGTACGTATATTGAAAATAAGATTAATCCAGGGTAGGTTTGAGTGTGAGTGAGATGCGAATCAATTCAATTTAATTTCAATATTTATTCCTTGATAGAGGAAGCGGGATCCTATTGCTGTCACTAGGTACCCCTGTACAATAACACCAGAAGCATCTGGCAAGTGTCACAAGTGAGATGCAAATAGAATCGAATCGAATAAAGGCTAGTGACGGGGGAAGGAGGTTCAGTGGAAGTTTAAAGGGAGGATAGAAGGGAATTTTAGTGGGAGAGGATAGATGCTGTGGCTTAACACAGCTTGCGTGGTGTGGGGTGGTAGGTTTGAGTAGGTAACAGCACCCAGCCTGGATGCGGTAGGGGGGTCAGGACCATGAGTCAGGTGAACTTTAGGTCAGGCGTCAGGTCGGGCAACGGTTTCTCTCTTCCTGGTTGGCTTGATCCTTGGGGTGTGGTGTTGTTTGCTTGTTTGATGGACGGGCTGCTCGATAGAAATATCTTGGTCTTCTGTTATGGGGTCTAGATTGAAGTTGACGATCTTCTTTTCCTCCTCTTTTTGCTGTCTTGGAACGTCCACTTGTGAGTGTCTAGGTCCTGTTCTTCGTGCCCTAGTTGCTCGTAGATATTGAGGAAGTCGGGGGAGGTGTTCGTCTGCCCCTAGGGTCTCGTGGTGTTCTTGTCTCTCGGTAACGTGTGTCTTTTCTTGGATCTTCTTTTCTTGTTTTTTCTTCTCTTCTTGTTTATTGGTCTCTTGTTTTTTCTTATCTTGGGCATGTACTGCAAGGAGGGCCTCCTTGTAGCTAAGTTTCTTGTTGAGTCGAACCTTGGCTATCCTGCATTCCTCCTTCCACGTGGGGCAGGTCCGGTCGGCAGAGGAGTGTGGGCCGCCACAGGCAGCTCATTTTTTCTCTATTGGGGCAGGCGGTGTAGTGGTGTCCGGGGGTACCGCACAGGGAGCATATGTCCTCCTGTGCCTCACACTTGTTGACAGTATGACCATAGTGCTGGCATTTGTAACAGCATTTGGGTCTGCAGTAGGGCTTGATTGGCACGGTTACCCACGCCAGTTGAGCCTCTTTGGGTAGAGTTTCGTGGTGTCCAACCAGGGCAGTGCTGTCGGACAGCTTCTTGACACAGCTGAGTTGTCCCTCAAGTAGTTGGTCCAGCTTTTTTGCATCCATGTGGGCAATTTCGGCATGGGAGATTACTCCCAGCTTCAAGTTGTCCCACATGTAGGCTATCGTATTAACTTGGATGCTGTTGACGTCGGAGAGCTCTGCGAGTTGTACAGGCTGACCATATTCGGTGAAGGTGATCTTGATGTCTTCATGCAGCTTCAGGCGTTTCACCTTGGTAATCCCCTTAATCCCTTCAGTTTCAAAGAACTTCTTGAGGATTAGGAGGTTTAATTTCTTGGGGCAGGTCTGCTTAACTGGGCGTATCCGAGACACCTTGGAGTCTTCGTAACCGGTCATGGTACTGTGTGTGATGTGTGATGAGGTGCTCATAGTTAATATAGTATCTGGCAACTCATTCTGAAAGATTACGTTGCTTGGCCTATTTTTGGGTCCCTGTATTATGAGGAAAAGGAATTTCTTCCCTTTGCTCATGAAAATAACAGAATTATGCAAGACAATGGGAAGTGTGTAAGATGAATGTGTTAAAATCTTCAACGCTGGAAGCAAGGTCCTCTTGAGGGTGTGTGCCTTGAAGCACTTTCTGCCTCCTCCCTTTTTCTAACTAGCTTTAAAACACTTCTCCTTGGTGGTGAGTTAGGAGATGATTGTCACTGCAGGTCTGGTTTATGACATTGTCAGATGAGGTGTGATGTGGAAAGTACAGAGACTGAGCTGAACAGTTTCATGGCTCATCACACTGAGCAACCCATGACCTCTATATAATCTCTCATTTTGAGTGATGGTTATCAAGGGTGGGTGAGTGATCTTCAGGTTACCACCAATTGCCATGACCCGGTGGTATACTGTATATTATCATGGTTTGCTCCTCTTTGTATGTGTTATAAAATGGGTTTCCAGAAGAAAACCTTCATTTTTATGCATATTAACTAAAATTTATTAAAAATAACTTGTCATAGAAAGCAGAATTATTTGTAAATTATATTTAACTGTCCTGCTGAGATACTATTTTGATGAATGTTCAGTATTATATGATATTTCTTCTGGCTGATCACACCAGGTGACCTCCTTAAGGCCAATGATGAGCTGTCAAGAGTGATGGGACGGTACAAGCTGATTATCGAAGGAACCAAAGTAGAAAACCAAAGTGGTGAAATAGAGAATCAACATCAAATGGATGCAGGTGGGGGAGTGGTGACTCAGAAGGATGGTGAAATTCTTCTTGATCTATCAACACCAGAGGATGTACCCAGTAACCAGAGCACAGCAAGTCTGGTCAACCAGGATCTTCAAGACATTGGTAATGTATAGGATGTGTCATAGATCATGTACCATAGGAAAATTTAAGTTCATCTCTTGTAATCTTTTTTCTGGGGAGGGAATTAGTATAACGAATCGGCAAAGAGTACCGGGGTACAGCGAAATTAATACTAAAGGAAAACTTAATTTTAATAATTGTGTACAGAAAGTCAGAGGCTGCACACCAGTCAGTTGCAAAAGAATTTAATCGACAACACCCAAATGGCTAGGTGGAAAATGATCATAAAGTATTGATGATGATGGTGTTAATTTAAGAAACTTAATTTACCTCATGAACCATCACATAATTTAAGATATGTTCCTACAGGGAAAAACTTGGTTCCTTGGCATGATAAATATGGTAAAAAATACACCAAACATTTTCATCATATATTACTGTAATATTATTTTATAATGTTCGTTAACTGAGGGACCACTGTACTGTAATACCAAGTGATCACCAGTTGTCTGTCTCCTGTTTCAAATTGCTTTATCACTTCTGACATCATCTAAAGCTATTGTTTTTCATTCTCATTTGGCATTTACTCTTTCAGTTCCATTTGAAGGTCTTTTTCCAGACATTTTCTCTAGTGTAAACAAAGCATTAATCTCCTCATTACGGGACACAACTTTTAGTGTTTTATTTGGCTAAGACCAGATGATTTTATTCTGCATAGAGAGATCCCTCTTAGTCAACAGGTCAGTAAACTATCTGCACTAACCCCTTCACTACAGGACACAACTTTCAGTGTTTCATTTGGGTAACGCCAGACGATTTTATTCAGCACAGAGAGACCCCTTGTAGCCAAGATGTTAAACATCTTCAAGCAGATCCTACAGTGTGTGTAGTATGAAGTGAGTTCTTGGCATATTTCGTTATTGGAAATGCGCTTTGTTAGTCTTTTTTTTCGAATTTATTAAAATATTTTGAGATTACACAATTTTGTTTTATCTTATTTATATACCTAATGGCCACCCACTGGAGGTGGCATGCTGAGAGGAGGCCAGTGGCCTGTGTAGGATTCCTTCATTGTTCTTGGTAATTTTTTAAAAGGCTATTTTGAAGCCCAGAACTGATCTTGATTCCACAGCTTGGCTTGGTAGACTGTCCTAAAGGTCTACCTCTCTGTATGAAGTTTTTCCTTATGTTCCTTCTGCATGATAACTTGATGAACTTGTACAGTACTTATATCCCCTCGTGTTGGTGGTGCGGGACATCACAAAGAAATGGCTTGAAGATGTGAACCTGGGCCATTTGTTTGTGATGTCACACACCACTAATATGAGGAGATATAACTACAAGCTTGCCATGTTATCATGCAGATTGCACATAAGGAAATACTTTTTCATACAGAAAGTGGTAGACCTATGGAACAGTCTACCAGCCCAAACTGTGGAATCAACACCAGTTCTGGGCTTCAAATTAGCCCTCGACAGATTATAAAAAAATGGATTTATGTAGCAGAGTGAAAGTGGTTTGTTTACCTCTTAGTATATTTTTTTTATATAAAATGTTCTATTTCACAGTAGAATTTATGCTAAGTAGAAGTCACTATATGCATTATTTCTTTTAAGCAGGTCTAGATGGTTTGAACCTGGGTCACACAAACCCAGCTCCTGTTGGTGCACCTGCTACTGACAACAGTGCTTCATTACTAGATGATCTTGGAGGCATTTTCTCTGGCTCAGCTGTGGCATCAGCTACAGCACCAAACTTGCAACTTGGTCCACCTCTACACACAGCAATGGCACCAACACTTGTACCCCAGACATCTCCTGGTACTTCACTTGACAGTAAGTTTGGATAATTTATTAAAAAAAAAATGTGCTGTACTATTTTGGAAATATGTTTCATAATTTGGAGGGTGTATTCCTGAGACATACATAAGGATAAATGACTCCACATGACCATAGAGTCAATACCCTATAGTTATGGAGTTACAGTACAGTACAACATATATTACATGGGTAATAAATTATTATAGGTGTTGGCTCAGTGTTTCATTCTGTTCACTTTGTGTTCAATCTCGTCCAGTTTCTTGTAAGTATAAATATGAAATTATTACTGCACTGTACTGCATGTGTATAATTTACAGTAGTATGTTTATTATTGGCTTGTAATCATTGTGTATACAAAATATAGTCATTAGAAACATGTTTTTTAACATATTGTGGCAGTATCTTGACTTTTGTAATAGGAACCTATGGGAACATGTGCTTTGATTTATAAAAAGTCAGAAGCTTTTTTGGGAGTTATCCCTTTTCCAGTTGGTCCTATGCAACAATTAGGTTACATGATACACTACTGCAACAGTTTATGTCAGTATTACTGGTAGTTGAAACAGTTACCTTAATATATATTTTTTTAACTCTTAGAGTATTCTGATAGACTATTAGTTTTTCCATTACTCAGAATTAAACTAGAGATTTTGAATTTCAGGTAATCGAGCAGATGCACAGTCCAAGGAGCGAACTGATCCTCTAGATGAATTAGCAGCCTTGGGTACATCACTGATTAAGCAGAATTTACCAGCCAATGCTCAAGTTCAGGTCCAGTTTAAACCTGCAGAAAAACTAAGTATGAACCAGTTGAAACAGCAGCAACAGAGTGTAAATATTGCAGCATCTTCTGTGAATGTTTCTGCAAGTTTACTGCCCACCAAAAATACTTCATCAGGATCATTGAACACTCCCCAATTTCCTGCTGGTGTCTCCTTAGCTACTGGTGCTGGCAGCAATAGTATCAGTAGGGACTCTGTGGACTCCTTGCTGAATATAGACTTGTTAAGTGGAGATATTGGTGTTGGTATAATACCTGATGAAACAAAAATTAGTATCACCACTACTATAGACAAAGTAAAGCCTCTAGATGACAGTAATCTCTTAGATAGTCATGATGATAGTTTATTAGAAGCACCTTCTCCTAACACCAGTGTGGAAATAACAAATACTAAAAAGCAGTCTCAAGAAAATAAAAAAAATGTTTGTGAAGACTCTGAAAGAAGAACAAATTCTATCTCAAATGCCCAGTTTATGGAAGTGAAGCCCATGACTGATATTAAAGTTACCTTAGAAAGTATAAAACCAGGTAAGAATAATATTTTTGAGGTATTATTAGTACCGGTACGGTGGTCTATAGAATTAATATTTTCTTCATTTCTGGTTTATCTTTTATTTGCTCCCTGTGAAAACCTTTTATATTAATCAGAGTTGTTTTAGTCATTTTTTACTGACTGATAAATCTGATGCACTATTTTCTATTTTATTGTCTGATATTTCAATAAGTATTTCTTTGCATACCATTAATATTTGTTTTAGGAAGCACAATGCCACAATGTAGCTACTGCATTTTATTTTTTATATCTTTAATAACAACACGTGCATCCTGCCACCCAGTGCGTGTAATAAATCGTGCATTAGGTTAAAAAAAACCTCGGTTCCCAGTCAAACTTCTTGTTACTTACACGTCTTTTACTTGGCACTGTGTTTTTGACATCCAAGTGTTTCATTTCCATTATTTTTTTATTTTTTATTTAAGGACATTGAATACCACAGTCCAAAGTGATTGTACTGTATTATGTTAAAGGTAACTATTTTCATATTACAGAAGCTTTATTGTTGAATGACCTATTAGGTATTTAGCTTCTGGGCAAACAAAGAGGATTTTCTGGTTCCTTAGAGGTACTCTGGAACAGGATATCAGGAGTATGAACATTCTTAGGACAAGATGAGGTTTGCTTGTAATATTTCCGACTAAAGGTTATTCCTTCCTTATTTGTTCTCATTTGTAAAGCACAGAGGAATCCTTTAGAGCAGTGGTTCTTAACCTTTTTTGAGTCACGGACCTCTTTGAGAATCTAGTGAAAGCTATGGACCCCCTCCTTAGAAAAATGCACATAAGCACATAAACACAACTTTGCATGCAATGAATATACTTTATTTTATTGAAAATTCATTGCCTTATACAGTGTATGACATACACAAAGTATGAATAAAGTAAACATTCTAGAAGTCAAAACCTGACGACGATGACGATTGTATGTTACCTGACCGTGTACAGTAGCATCCCATGCCACCCTACAGATTTACTGGTTTTCTTCAGTAACCAAAAATACATACATAACATCTGGTATATATTGACAAAAATAGAACAACTTAATATAAAAATATAGTGAATATAAATGTTAAATTTGTATCTGGCCTTCACGGATCCCCTGAACCCCATCCATGACCCCTCGGGGGTCCATGGACCTCAGGTTAAGAACCCCTGCTTTAGAGTATCTAACAGCTGTTTAAATTCAGTTGCATGATTCAATGTAACAAAGAAGATTTCAGCCGATTTCCCATTAGTACGAGTTAGCTTCAACCAACTGTGTTATGTCTATTATCAACTAGCTCCAGGCTGTCCTTTCCCAGGCAATACACTTACAAGGGATTCATAATAGGGGTTACACTCTCTGACTTATTGTCATCATTGTGTTATGTTCAGTTCTTGCTGCATAGCCTTATGGTATACTGTACTGTACTGTACTGTACTGCAATATGCTCGTTGTCCCCTTGGCTTTGACCAGCACATGACTCTTCTGTTTTACAGAGGATTAAAATTTGCAAAGTTCTACATTTTGGATAACCATGATCTTTACCCAATACATGTAGATGATGTAGATTGAGTCACTTTCGGCCCCATGAGGTATGGTGAGCATATACTGTAGTTGTTAGACTGTAATTTGAATTATTGTTCTAGCTACAGTAGTTGTATATTGCAGGGATATCAGGAAGTGTGTGAATCTGGGTTTGCTCAGCTAGTATGGACAATAAAAGTGAGTGGGAAGTGAAGTTCCCTGTACTGTATTCGTATAATATATCAATACTGGCATGTGGTGCCAAAGCCTTAGAAAGTTTTGAAGTCAAAACCAAGCCAAAAAAGCATGGCTTACAGATTCTTCAACCCCGTGTCTGTGGACCTAACAACCGTAGCGGTCGTAACTGTCAGGATTAACACTAACACTGAATGTTGACCATAGACCACAGGGCTGTACCTTTCAGTCAGAATAATTTTAAACTGCAAAACTTATATATTATATATACAGTGGGGTCTGCTATAACGAATCTAATTGGTTCTAGAACCTTGTTCGTTATATAAAATTGTAAAAATTGTAAAAAAGTGCATAAATATGCATCTAAACCCCTGAAATAAAGAATATCATTAATACTTGTAATAAAAAACACAATAAATTAGTAAAAAAAAAAAAAAAAAAAATCGTTGTAGGAGTTTCGTTCGTTATAGCATTCTCAATTTTATAGGTAAAACCGTTCGTTATAGGAATATTCGTAGTAGAATCCATTCGTTATAGCATACCCCCACTATATATAATTATATATATATTATATATACAGTGACCCCTCGTTTAACGAACACCTCGGTTAACGTAATTTCGATTAACGAACTGCCTTCCATAAGGATCTTCAATTCGTTTAACGAAAAAAATTTCGCTTAACGAACTTCTTACGAACCGACCTCAACATGTTTTCGCTTGCACTGACCGGGCAACCAGCTTTAGTATCAGTCCGCCAATACATTAATCGGTTCTAGGGCTTAAATTCCTTACTATTTTTGTAAATATCAAGAAGTTTATACTATTCAATAATTTTAAAAGTTTAATATTCAATTTTTTAGTCATTTTAACAATTATTGAACAAAATTGAAGGTAAAGTGACTAGTTTAATGCGCGGCATCCAGCCTCTTAACACAGCAAACAGGCGTCAGTCTCTCTCTGTTTTCACTGGAGGTAACATCTTGCTTGAGACTCTCTTCAACTAAACGCTTTTTTTCTGTGTTTCCAAGCAAATTATTGGTCATTTTGAAAATTATTTTACATATTGACAATATATAGTGCAGTGCAGTGTTATTTTAAAGAAAATATTCTTTATTTACAGCTAGTTTAACTTTGAAAAATACGTGTTGCCATTGTTTGAATCCAGCATGGGGCCTAAGAGATCAAGAAAAGTGATTTCAATCCAAATGAAGCAGGAAATAATAAAAAAACACGAACTGAGAGGTTACTTATCATCTGGATTAGGGAAAAACAGATGAAAGGTGATTCAGTTTCTGGTGATTTCATTTGTGAAAGAGCCAGGGAGATTTATGAACATTTAAAGACAGATCAACCTAGTTCTTCAGGAACAGAATTTGAAGATTTTCGGGCTAGCAAAGGCTGGTTCGAAAAATTTAAGAAAAGAAGTGACATTTTAAGTGTTGTTAGGCATGGTGAAGCTGCTAGTGCTGATAAAGAAGGGGCAGCAAAGTTTTTAATTGAATTTAAAAAACTGATGGAAGAAGAAAATTATCTTCCACAGCAAGTGTTCAATGTTGACGAAACTGGGCTGTTCTGGAAAAAGATGCCCAAAAGAACATTCATCACCAAGGATGAAGCCTCTTTACCTGGGCATAAACCCATGAAAGACCGTCTCACTCTATTGCTTGGTGCCAATGCTTCAGGGGATTTCCGACTGAAGCCTATGCTTGTCTACCACTCTGAAAACCCCAGGGTGTTCAAGCAACAGAAAGTGGTAAGAACAATGCTTGGAGTTTATTGGAAGTCCAACCGTAAGGCATGGGTGACAAGACAGTTCTTTAATGAATGGGCTATTGATGTGTTTTGCCCCTCTGTCAAGAGCTACCTAACCACCAATAAACTTCCTTTAAAGGCTCTTCTCCTCATGGATAATGCTCCTGGTCATGACCCTGACCTTGCCAGAAATTTGGAGTATAAATTTGACTTTGTGAAAGTGTTGTTTTTGCCTCCAAACACTACATCACTCATACAGCCAATGGACCAGAATGTGATCAGCAACTTCAAGAAGTTGTACATGAAGAAAATGTTTAGGAGGTGTCATCAGGCAACTTCCATTGATCCTGAACTAACACTGAAACAGTTCTGGAAGACACAATTCAACGTCCTGGAGGCTGTAAAATTGATTGTGTCATCATGGCAAGAAGTCTCCAATAGAACCCTCAATTCTTCATGGAAAGCACTGTGGCCATCAGTAGTCCATGATTTTGAGGGATTTGAGGATGACACAGAGTTGGACCAGGAGATTGTGTCCATTGGTCAGTCATTGGGTCTTGAAGTGGAGGAGAAGGATGTGGAAGAGCTTGTGATGTCTCATGAGGAGGAACTTACTCCTAATGACTTGAAGGAACTGGATGAGATGTTACGGGTAGAGGCTGACAGTGGTGAGGAGGAAATTGAAAGTGATGACCATATGTCAGCTAAACAGTTGAAAGATGTGATTTACCACTGGGAGAAGTTCAGGGAACTGGCTTCAAAGCACCCAGAAGTGGAAAAAACTGAACTAACTTTGTGTCATGTTGAGGACTCAGTGGTCTCCTTCTTTAAACATAAGTTAATGGTGAGGAGGACAGATGCCCCACAGACCACAATTGACACTTTCTTCAGTAAAAGGCAGAGGGAACAAGATGCTAGCCCTCAGCCTTCCACTTCAAGAAGGAGAGAGGATGTTCATGGTGGAGAATCTGTCAGTCCAGAGGTTCCTGACATTTTCATGGAAGGTGACTCACCTTCCAAGAAGCAGTAAAATGCTTCTCCTCCACCTCCACTTCCTTCTCTTCTCCCTTCTCCTCCTGCACCTCCCACTTCAAATGCACATCATCACCATCATCCAGGAGCCTTCTACATACACACCTCAAAGTAAGTAAATTTTTCCGCCATTTTTGTTGAAGTTAGGAAATTTTCGGTGAGCTGGAACCAATTACCCAAAAACCCATTGAAACAATGGTTTCGGTTAACGAACGTTTCGGTTAACGAACGACCTTCTGGAACGGATTGAGTTCGTTAACCGAGGGGCCACTGTATATATATATACATTATATTATATATACAGTTTTACCCCGCTTAACGCGCTTTCACTTAACGCGTTTTCGCATATACGCGGTGCCTTGCCAAAGCTGAACTTTCACTTAACGCGGGTTTTTCCACAGCTACGCGGTGAGTGTCCGGCTCGGATGCTATTTTTAGATTTTGACCACGCGCCACGCGCCACCCACCCGCCCGCCTGCCTGCCTGC